GATCCTAACACCCAGATACGAGACTTAGATTCAATGAGACAGAAAATTAATAAGGATATCAAGGACTCGAACTCAGATCCGGAACAAGTAAACTTAATAAATATTCATAGAGCTCTCCACTTCAAATACACAAAATATACATTCTTGTCAATACCACATCACACCTACCCATAAGTTTAAATGAAACATTGATTGGCCATTATTAATACTCAATTTTTTTCAAAATAAAGCAATATTTCCATTTACTCTCCCTCTTTCTTCCTCTCCTTATTATTTTTTTTCTTTCCTTCTCTGAAAAAAAAAGAAATCAACTTGTAAACCTCTAGATCTAGGTTGGCAATGTCTCTCTCATTGCTTGATTTCCTTCCTTCCCTTCCCTCCCTGCCTCCCTCCCTCCCCGCTTCCTCCCTTCCTTCCTTCCTTCATCCCTTCCTTCCTCCCTACCGTCCTTCTTCCCTCCCTTCCTGCCTTCCTCCCCCCCCCCCAAAAAAAAAAAAAGCATAAATATAAAATTTTTACAGTGAGATGATCAGGGTTTTCATTTTTTATGATACACATTTTTAAATGGTTGAACTTTAAATCACAATGCATATACTTTTTGGCACATAAAAGAAAGCTATATTTAAACAAAAAAGTTTGGTAGACCCTTAACAGTTTCTGGGTTTTGTTTTTGTTTTTTTTTTGAAATGGAGTCTTGCTCTGTTGCCCAGGATGGAGGGCAGCGGCACAATCTCGGCTCACTGCAACCTCCACTCCCCAGGTCCAAGCGATTCTCCTGCCTCAGACCCCTGTAGCTTGGACTACAGGCATGTGCCACTACACCTGGCTAATTTTTGTATTTTTAGTAGAGAAGGGGTTTTTACTGATGTATATCATTAGAAAATGATTATTTTTATTAATAATCATTTACTTTTTTTTTTTTTTTTTTGAGACAGTCTCACTCTGTCACCCAGGCTGGAGTGCAATGGTGTGGTCTTGGTGCACTGCAACCTCCATCTCCCAGCTTCAAGCGATTCTCCCACCTCAGCCTCCTGAGTAGCTGGGACTACAGATGTGTGCCACCATGACTAATTTTTGTATTTTTAGTAGAGATGGGGTTTCACTATGTTGGCCAGGCTGCTCTCGAACTCCTGACCTCATGATATACCGGCCTCAGGCTCCCAAAGTGCTGGGATTACAGGAATTGAGCCACACACCCAGCCTTCATTAAACAATTAATAACATTTTAGGTGTATGATAGACATTAGTCACATGTGGCTATTTAATTAAAAATTTTTAAATTACATTTATTTTCTCAGATCACAGTAGAAGCATTTAAAATGCTTAGTAGCCATGAGGAGCGAGTGGCTACCATTTTACATAGCACAGAGAACATTTCCATCAGTGTAAGAAGTTTTATTGGACAGCATTGCTCTAGAAAATCTAGTGAAGTATTTACAGACGAAATTATCTGATACCTAGGTGGGAGGAGTAGATGGAATATAGATTAAAGAAAGCTAGCCAAGCACTGATAACTTTTGAAGTCAGGTTATAGGTGTATGGAAGTTCAGTCATACTTTTCTCTTTATTTTTATATATGTTTGAAGATTTCCGTAACGACAAGTTAAAAGAAAAAAAAAAGTGGTTCACTTGAAAACGAAGTATTCAGCCAGGCATGGTGGCTCAAGCCTGTAATCCCAACACTTTGAGAAGCCGAGGTGGGCAGATCACCTAAGGTCAGGAATTCAAGGCCAGCCTGACCAACATGGAGAAACCCCATCTCTACTAAAAATACAGAATTAGCCAGGTGTGGTGGTGCATGCCTGTAATCCCACTACATAGGATGCTGAGGCAGAAGAATCACTTAAACAGTGAGGCAAAGGTTGTAGTGAGCTGAGATCATGCCACTTCCCTCCAGCCTGGGCAACAAGAGTGAAACTCTGTCTCAAAAAAAAAAAAAAGTTATCATATTAAGGAAAATGCCATGAAGGACAACTTGTACAAATCTTTAGTCATGAAGACCAGAGTTCTAATTCTCACTCAGGAGACCTATTATGTGACCTTTAACAAGAAACTGACTTCCCTGAGCCTCAGTTTCCTCAACTATAAAATGGGAAATTGAATACCTGACTTGCAAAGAATTGCTGTTGAAAGCAGAAGTAATTATTTCAAAACAAGAACTCAATACCTAACATATAATAGGTCCCCAGTAACTGGTATCGCTCTCTCTTTTTTTTTTTCTTTCAAATGGAATCTTGCTCTGTCACCCAGGCGGGAGTGCAGTGGCGCAATCTCAGTTCACTGCAACCTCCGTCTCCCAGGTCCAAGCAATTCTCCTGCCCCAGTCTCCCAAGTAGCTGGGACTACAGGTCCACACCACTACAGGCCCATGCCTGGCTAATTTTTGTATTTTTAGTAGAGACAGGGGTTCACCATGTCGGCCAGGATGGTCTTGAAATCCTGACCTCAAGTAGCCTGTTCACCTCAGCCTCCCAAAGTGCTGGGATTACAGGTATGAGTACTGACAGTACTGGTATCTCTAATTATCATCAAACAATAAAGTTTCTTTCTTTTTTTTTTTTTTTTGAGACAGATTCTCACTGTTATTGTCTGGGCTGGAGTGCAGTGGCATGATCTCAGCTCACTGCAACCTCTGCCTCCCACATTCCAGCAATTCTCCAGTCTCAGCCTCCTAAGTAGCTGAGATTACAGGCACCAGCTACCACACCCAGCTAATTTTTGTGAATTTTTAGTAGATACAGGGTTTCACCATGTTGGCCAGGCTGGTCTCGAACTCTTGACCTCAGGTAATCCATCTGCCTTGACTTCAGGTGATTCACCTGCCTCGGCCTCCCAAAGTACTGGGATTACAGGCATGAGCCACCATGCCTGGCCTAGAATTTCTTTTAAACCACTCAGGTATTTCTCAGAACAGCATATGAAGAGGTCCTACTAGAGCAGAATGGACAAAAGCTAACTAGAGCCCACTGGTACTACGGAAACAGCAACTGCTTGGTTTCTTAGAATAGTAACTGAAGACGGTCCTTTTGCAGTGATCTTTAATAAACTTTTAAAGTGCCTACTACACGTCATGCACTGTGCTGACTGCCTTCTCATCTCTATTGACAAAGAGGAAGAACAGAGGCTCAGGCTCCTGATGTGGACCATTATGCAAGGCACAATATTTCAAAACCAGGAATCGAGGAGCTGTTAATCCAGACCTGGTTTCAAGCATATGGGTAGAGTTAGCAACCTCTCTACTTCATCTTTGTCAGCCAGTCAAGTCACCCTCTGTTTCCCAACCCAAGTCCTTAGTAACTGCCTAAGAACCTACATGTACCATACCCTTTCCTACCTTAGTATATGCTGTTTCCCTAAAATAAGGCTGGGAGCGGTGGCTCAAGCCTGTAATCCCAGCACTTTGGGAGGCCGAGGCGGGTGGATCACGAGGTCAAGAGATCAAGACCATCTTGGTCAACAAGGTGAAATCCCGTCTCTTCTAAAAATACAAAAAATTAGCTGGGCATGGTGGCGCGTGCCTGTAATCCCAGCTACTCAGGAGGCTGAGGCAGGAGAATTGCCTGAACCCAGGAGGCGGAGGTTGCGGTGAGCGGAGATCCCGCCATTGCACTCCAGCCTGGGTAACAAGAGCAAAACTCCGTCTCAAAAAATAAAATAAAATAATAATAAAATAAAATAAAAAGGTCTTTCCCTCTCCAAATCATACCCATCTTTCAAGACTTGATTTTGCAAAGCCTTCTTGGATGATATTTCCCTTTCTCTGAAATTAGACTACATCGGATTTCACTACCATATAATGAAGCATTTGCTCATCTACCCTTTAGATCAATTTCATTGTCTTGCCTCCACAGTAACACTGTAGACTCAGGTGGGTAAAGACCATGTATTATACCTCTCTTGTATTTCCGTAGCGCCTAGCACAGTGCTAGAAAATTTGTAACCATTCAACTAATACTTATTGACCGAGTGACTGTCTAAAGCATCCTCCCAAAATAATAAGTACATTATGTGCATAATTCATATTCCCACCCTTGTTAGACGCAAAGCTTACATCAGAGAAATTTCAGTTGCTTCGACAGAGGATGTAATGCAGCGCAATATGCTGTTTGGATCCAAGAGGCGTATTCTGGGAGTTGGTGATTATGCTAGATTTGACCTTTACAGAATTACAGAAAGAAGTCCCTAACAAATCAAGATAGATGCGCACATAGCCATACATGGAACATGTGGTGGGCGGTCAACTACACCCACTCTGTTTCTTCCATGAAAGAGTTGGCTAGGATGCCAATCTGAGTATGGAGAGTCCTTCCTTCCATGAATTATTCTTCTCCATCCCAAGGTGAATGTTCATCTGGAAGATCCACTCAGAGAATCTCAAGTGAGCAACTAATATGCTGTCCAAAAACAAGTATCTCTAAAAAAATTGGAACTTTTCTTGACACACACACACACACACACACACACACACACACACACATATATATATTCTTTTCCCTTTGTCAAACTGCAGTGTTCCAAAAGATAAAGAAATGAACTCAGTTGTCCGAACCAACACAATAAGCGAAGAGCCAATATACTAATCTGTAACATGCAGGGTTCTCTTTTACTTACTCCTAGGCACTCTGGGACATTGTTTTGTCTCACAATAAGTAGTCCTGCACATACAATGTCTCAAGAAGGTCAAAAAGCCAGGCAGAGAAAGTCAATGGTTCCATCTCTTCATGCCTCTGTAACCTAATCTACACTCTCCTTTCAAGGCTAAAGCCAGAACCTTGAGCTTAGCCAGAAATAGAGCTAGTACAGCCAACTGACTCATACTGCTAGGCCCTATCCTATCTCTGCCACCGGAGCAAGATTTTCCAAGAAAATGCAATGGGGAGATCAGAAGCAGATGTGTGGGTCTCAGACACTCCAGATACAGCCACAACATCTATAGGACTGAAGGAAATTATACAAGGTGAAAAGCAAGGAATGCAGAAGACAGGAAAGCAACTGCTTACCTCCTGAGTGAATCCTCCTTAGAGCTTTCCTCAGGCATATCCTGATGTAAGGCCTCCTGTGACACAGTTCCAGATCTGCTGGACTGGGTATAAATTCTTTCCCAGTGGCCTGTCTCCTGGTTAAAGGCCACCCCCACAGTCCTCTCCTCCTGCGGACTAGCAGAGCTGCTCAACTCCAGCCTGCTGGAGCTGGACGTTTGGCCCTCAGTCCACTCAAGAGGTGGCAAATGGCTGCCACTCGATGGCACACCCTCAAAGGAGCTGGGGACCTGCCAGGAGGAACTAGCTTCACCTGAGGAGTAGTTAGGTGTGGTTCTTTCCTAGCGCATGGTATCGTTGTTGAAGGTCAGGAGATTGTGGCAAGCATGGCAGCGATTCAGGTGGCCACGGGACAGGTTGGAGTTGTTCTCACTGCTGTGTGGGATGGGCTGGTGGGAAGGGCCTGGCCTCTCAGATTCAATGTTATTGTTGAGCATTTCCTGAGCCTGTTGGGTCTGGGGAGCTTCCCGGCTCAGGCTCTGATCCAGCTCCTGAAGCATGTCATACTCCAAAAAGAAGAGTCTCAGGTCACACTGAAGCTCATGACAAATGCTGCCTGAGTTGTTTTGGCTAGAGCCATTCCCTCCATCTGACTTGGTTGCCAACCCTGATGCTGGAAAACCCCTCCCTTCCATGGCTGAAGTGTACACAGATGCCTGAGAGCCACCTTCTTTCTGTCTCAGCACAGACAGCAAACTCACTGAAGAGGCACTGGTCCTGGGTGGGGGCATGGATTCCGTCTCAGAGCAGGAGTTCAGACTGAGTACTGTCCAGGTCCACTCAGATCCTGTCAGCCCAGGAGTTATTTCTCGGTGATACCTAGAAGGGTGGCTAGACAGAGGCCCTCCCAAAGAGCGGTGGGTAGGACCCAGACTGAGGTTGCGGAGCGTGTTGCCGGCAGTGCTGCTCTGGACTGTACTGAAGGCAGACGGCTGGTTCAGAAGGCCCTGGTCCTGCTGTGTTGATGAGGCCTGCTCCAGGGGATGGAAGGGATTGGTCTGTACAAAAGAAAAGGAAGGGATAGTAGCTTTGGCAGAAGCAGGGGGGACACTGTCCTGGTGTGGCAAGAGGGAAGGAACTTGAGTGCCAGAGCAGCAGCTGCAAAGGCACAGGATCCCAAGGTGCTGGCAGCACTCAGCTGTGGGGTAACTGACCCGTTGTTGAAGCCTGATGTAAGCGGAAGTCCTGGGGTGCTCCGTGAAGGGCTGAGGTGGTGCGGGTGAGGGGGTAGCAGAATCTTGCACTGTGCTTTGCTCTCCCACCTGGATGCCAGAGGAGCGGGAGGACAGCATGTGCAGGAAATTGTGCAGGAGAGGTGTCCGGCGAACTGGCTGTGACTGCAAGAGGGCACGCTGATGGTAGTGGGATAATTCTGTTCCATCTATGGGGCTCTCTGGTTCGTCATCACCCTGCAGCGTGGACCAGCCTGGGGCAGGGGGTAGAGCAAGGCAGTTAAGAAGAACCTCCAAATAAATCAAGAAAAACTAACCACTGACAATCATCCAAGGAAAACGACATTCACAGATAGGAAACACCTCTCTACCCCTGCAGCACTGACAACTGGCTTCAGAATCAGAATAATCACATGGTATTAAATTTTCCACTCCCAATTAGCAGTATATCTGAATGAGTAGAGCTGACAAACCAACTGTCTTACAAAAGACATCTCCCTATGACAGAGAATGAGGGGAAGCAAAATGTCAACCAGCCAGAGGCACATGAGCGACAAGCTATCCAACACTGTAGTGATGATAAGGGTTACTTCTAATGAGGCGATCACTGGAGGGTTTCAGAATCAACTCTCCTGTCAAGATTATGACTGTAACTCTGAATATACAGTCTAAAGCTAGTTTTAAATCTTAACTGGAAAGAAAGACTTGGGTATTGAGAATTAAAATCCAATAGAATCAGAATTGGAATACTAGTTAAGAAAAGAACTCACAGTTTAGCTGAAGTTGGAACTGCTGGACTAACTTACCTGTTGATTAGAGGGGTTAACAATTGCTGTGACTAAGTAGTGTCTAAGTGGATCAAATCTCACCAGACTGAAATCACAAAAGAAGAAACAAAGACAGGCATAGAGAAATTATGTTAACTGAGAAGAGGAAACTTGTATTAGAATTTATAGCAATCATTACTGATAACTGTGGTATCACTCAGGTATCCACTTCATTCAAGAATTTCAAAACTTTCAAAGAGGTTAAAACAGTAATGCTCAATACTTCTTGCCAGAGTAAAGGAATGTGTATCACAAAAATAATGATTTCACATGAAAAACACCTAGGGTTTCCCTGCCAGGGAACACCTACATTAAGCACACATTTGCTCAAATACAAGAGCCCATCCTAACAGTAGAGCATAAAATGCTCTCATCTCTGCCACAGGATCAGTTCTTCCCTCAAATGACAGCTACACTAGCAAGAAGCATGAATCTTAGTGGCAATGAACAGTCCCAGCCTTAAATAACATAGCTGAAACCAGAAAATTAGCCTGTATTCAACTGCAAATCCAAGAGGACCAAAGAAACACAATACATCAACTTTAGTACAGATAATATGTTTTTATCATGAGGACTAAATAAATGTCAATTACATGCTTACATCTCCATCTTCCAGTTTGATAAACACAGACAACCCACCGAGCTATCTAAAATACCACCCAAACTTCTTTCAAGTTTCCCCAAAGAAGGAATATCCCAAACACAGTTAGCTTGGAAACTAAAAGAGAGTCTAATGGCCCAGGTCTCCAAAGACCAGAAGATCAGGCCAATAAGGAAAGCTGAAATGAACAAAATGAATGTCTCCGAGCTGATTAGCCAGCTGCTTAGAAATTGGGAGGAGGCCAGGTGCAGTGGCTCACACCTATAATCCCAACACTTTGAGAGGCCAAGGCAGGAGGATCTCTGAAGGCCACGGGTTCAAGACCAGCCTGGGCAACACAGTGAGACCCACCCCCATCTCCATAAAAAATTTAAAAATTAGTTGAGAGTGGCTGCATAGTAGTCCCAGATACTCCTCAGACTGAGATGGGAATTTCTTGAGCCCAGGAGGTTAAGGCTGCAGTAAGCCATGACTGCACAACTGTACTTGAGCCTGGGTAACAGAGCAAGACCCTGTCTCAAAAAAAAAAAAAAAAAAGCGGGGCTGGTGAGCAAGGTGGCTCACACCTGTAATCCCAGCACTTTGTAGGCTGAGGCAGGCGGATTATTTGTGGTCAGGAGTTTAAGACCAGTCTGGCCAACATAGTGTAATCCTGTTTCTACTAAAAATACCAAAAAAATGAGCTGGGTGTGGTGGTGGGTGCCTGTAATCCCAGCTACTCAGGAGGCTGAGGTACGAAAATCACTTGAACCCAGGAGGCAGAGGTTACAGTGAGCTGAAATTGCACCACTGCCCTCCAGCCTGGGTGACAGAGTGAGACTCTGTCTCAAAAAAAAAAAAAAAAAAAAAAAAAAATAGGAGGAGCTGAGGATGACAACCTGCCCTGAGCAGGAATAACAACCTGTCTTCCAAGGTGACAGCCAGTAGAATGTCCTCTATTATGTCAGTCCTGTGCCAGATAATGTTGATGGGGCAGAGCACTTACCAGACCCATTCCATCTCACTAGCTGTCTTCACCACAGCAAAGGGCTCCCGTCGACTCCAATCCCAGAAGTGAATCTCGTGGGCAGTGGCAATCAGCAGGAGCTGAGCTGTAGGGTGAAAAGCCAGGGAGGCAATAGCATTGTTGCTATCTGTGAACCAGCTTTCACTGCCACCCTGCAAATGCACCAATTCCAGATATTTTCAGGTTACAAGCTGTCAACAGACTGGGAAGTCAATTTCAAGAAAGGTCCATTTAAGGTAAAATGACTACATATAGGGCCTACTTTAAATATAGCCTCTGTAAAAAGATGTAGAAGATCAGTGATCTGGCAATGTCACTACTTTATCAGACAAATACTATATAATCAGCTCAGTTCTTCAAATCATTCACAATCTACAAGCATATATACACAGTTCTTATTTTTTCTTTTTTTTTAGATCCTCCTATGTCTTTTTTTCTTTTTTTGAAAAGGGATTTCATTCTGTCACCCAGGCTAGAGTGCAGTGGCACAATCTCAGTGCACTGCAACCTCTGCCTCCTGGGCTCAAGCAATCCTCGCACCTCAGCCTCCCAAGTAGCTGGGACCACAGGTGCATGGCACCATGCCCGGCTAATTTTATATAATTTTGCATATAATATTTTTGGTATAGTATCTTGCCCAGGCTGGTACCAAACTCCTGAACTCAAGCAATCCACCTGTCTTGGCCTCCCAAAATGCTAGGATTACAGGCATGAGCCATGGCACCCAGCCCACAGTTCCTATATTTAAAGCCTGAGAAAACTCAAGCTTGGTGTGCAACACAGTGCAGGACAACCCACTACACATTACTAGGACAGAGAGGATATTGCTTTGATGATCATGATCAGAGTACAGGACAATCTTTGCCCTAAGAAAACAGAAATCCATCCTGAACATATCTTAGAGCCTCCTGTTCACAATGGGTCAAAGGAAGCATTAGGCAGGTATTCATCTTAGAATGGAAGACAATCTCAGGGTATGCTTAAGCTATTGCAAAAAAAAAAAAAGTGAAAGACAGTGACCTACCCTTCCTATTAATTAACTGGGCAATGTCTACCACAATACATTCAGATGTAGTCCTAAGAACCTGGCTAGGCTCTTCTAGAAGAACCCAATGGTAAACAAGTCTCTGAATACCAAAAGAAGCACAGTGGCTTACACCTGTAATCCCAGCACTTTGGAAGGCCGAGGTGGGCAGATCACCTGAGGTCAGGAATTCGAGACAAGCCTGGCAAACATAGTGAAACCCTGTCTCTACTAAAAATAGAAAAATTAGCCGGGCATGGTGGCACATGCCTGTAATTCCAGCTGCTCGGGAGGCTGAGGTAGGAGAATCGCTTGAACCCAGGAGGCAGAGGTTGCAGTGAGCAGAGATTGTGCCATCGCACTCCAGCCTGGACAACAGAGGGACACTCTGACTAAAAAACAATTAATAAAAATAGAATACCAAAAGAAAAGGGCATCTTAAGGAAATACTCATGTGTAAATCCCGAATCCTAACCTCCCCATCTAGGCAGCCAGAAGCAATAAGGCCTGAGATGGTGGGGTGAAAAGTGACACACCATGGAGTACAGTGGTGTCCAATCAGGGAATGAACACATTTCCCAGTCTTCACCTACGTAATATAGATATTATGATTCACATGGGTGGAGGCTAAGAGAGTCCTGGAGAACCAAAGAGTAGAACTGAATTCAGAAGCATGTAGAAGGGTAACCAACCTTATCAACTTTGGACAACACAGAATAGCGATACTACTGCCCATCCCAACATGAAAGGCACTAAGCTTTGCACATTAGGCAGTGTATCTACAAACAGAAATATTCTGATCGTTAAAACCTTTTGGCTTGTCAATACTGTCCCCAAATGACACATGCCACATTCAGAAAATTTTTTCCGGGCCAGGCGTGGTGGCTCCCGCCTGTAATCCAAGCACTTTGGAGGCCAAGGCAGGTGGATCACCTGAAGTCAGGAGTTCAAGACCAGCCTGACCAACATGGTGAAACCCCGTCTTAAAAAAAAAGAAAATATTTTTTCCAACTGGAAAAACCATCATGCCACTGGTGAGCTACATCACACAGGCAAAAGACTGTTACTGAGAAACTTTCCAAGTTTTGATCCTCTCAATGATCAGTTTCCTTTGCTTGTTCTCATTATTTTTTAGGTCAGCATTGCTTATCTACTTTCTTTCCCTTTCTGACACATGGCCAAAGCTCTGTTCATACAGTAATTCAGAGAGCCTTTAGGGACTGACTTGGCAGATCAAGCCAGGCCAAATATACAGAAAGCACTGGTATCACAAATCTTATGGTTAAGTTATAGATAAGTACTAAGTACCTGTCTGGGCTGAAGGCCAATAAGAAGGTAGAGCGTGGACTATCCGGCAGTTCTACTCTCTGGGAGACAAAAAAAAAAAAAATTAAAATGCATGATTTATAAACTATGGTTCACCCTATCTCAAAAGCACATTAACCAATCTAGATTCGTATTCACAGTACAGGCTTAAAAACTGGAGACAATGATCAAGCTACAAACAGAGAGATAAACTTAAATTACCTTTAGGAAAACTGTCTAGCTCTAAAGGAAGAAGATATTTCTAGCGCATAAATTCTTTTAAATTTACAAACAACTCCCTAAGTCAGATATGTCAACCCTCCCATACAAGATCCCCCGACCGGTCCCTAACCTCCCTGTGCCTCAATTTCCCATCGTGGAAATGGGCCCGGAGCCCCCCACTGCGAGTCGTGCTGCCTGGGGAGGCCCCATGGAGTGTACGGGGCAGCTTTGCTGGGTGCCCCGACCTCGGGCTCCGGGCGCGGCAGCCAGCAGCAGCCTGTGGGTGGGGGTGGCGGGGCGGAGAACCACAGCCACAGCTGTCACCGCCCCTCCCGGTCAGCGCCAAATTTGAAAATTGCCCAGCACCTCCCAAACTGCGCGCTGGGTGGGGGAAAGCCCTGGGCCCCACCCACGGGAAGCGCGGGGCATTCTGGGACTTGGAGTCCAGTCCCTGGAGGGTCCAGCGGGGATGGCTCCGGGCACCCTGAGCCCCTCCCTGGCGCCCAAAGAGGAGGGCGGGGGGATAGGTTGGAGACCCGGGTTTGCAGAAGGCAAGACTGAGGCCGAGGCCTGCGCAGTCAGGCAGGAAGCGGCGCTCCTGGCGGGTGGAATAGCACAGGCAAAGGCTGGGAGGTGGACAGAGGGCGATGGGATGGGGGAAAAAAAAAACCCTCTGCTGTTGACCCATTCTAAGGTCCCAGTCTACCATCACCAGTACAAATCCCATGTTAAAAATAGCCATTTTCCTCACCTTGCCCTCCCATTTAATCCACCGGCTTTTATCTTCCACCAGCTCCTGCAGAAGCCGCTGAGCTCCTATGGCCCGAGCACCCCGTTCTCGCCCCCCGAGTATCCGGACAGCATTCTTTTCCGGGACAACCTTCATAGTGCTCAGCAGCCACTGTCACACCAGGCCCAGAAAATGAAGGAGCAAGTAATAGCTCCAACACACTGAAGCAGCTAAAATGAGGCCATATAGGTCCTTGTAAGTTGTCCTCATGGAAATCTAAGGAATAGAGAATAATGTCAAAGAACGTCTATTCTGCAACAAGAAAAGCTTCACATTGCAAATATAATTCTAGCTCAAAAGGGAAATTATTCTTTTCCTATTTAATGACACTTTCTCAGAAAAGACCCTTCTCCCAGAATTTTTCTTCCAAAAGTATTTCATACTCTCATATTCTCCATAGTTCAACCTTATGTCTAAAGAAAGGATCAGGCCAGGCAGAGTGGCTCACACCTGTAATCCCAGAATTTTGGGAGGCCAAGCAGGGTGGCCTGCTTGACGTCAGGAGTTCGAGCCAACATGGTGAAACCCCACCTCTATTAAAATACAAAAATTAGCAAAGTGTGGTGGCAGGCACCTGTAGTCCCAGCTACTCAAGAGGCTGAGGCAGAAGAATCGCTTAAACCCAGGAGGTGGAGGTTGCAGTGAGCTGAGATCACGCCACTGCACTCCAGGCTGGGCAACAGAAGAAGACTTTGTCTCAAAAAAAAAAAAAAAAAAAAAAAAGAAGAAGAAGAAGAAGAAGATTATTTGGAGTACCTTTCTCACTCATTTTCTCTTCTCCACTAAAGATCCAGAGCAGAGAGAGGATAGAGAAGGAAAAGGAAGGGGGAAAAAATCAGGTTCTTTTTCTCAGCTACCACGAGACTTACAAGCAGAAAACTTTATCACAAGTTAAAATTCTACTAAAATGTCAACTAGCAGCACAATATACACAAGTGCAATGATTAAAGAACAAATGTGGTTCATACAATGGACTATGTGGCCTGATAAAATTGTATTTCAAAACAATATCTACGTATGTATGTTATCCATTGTGGTGTCATTTCTTCAACTCCACTATGAATGTTTTCAAAAATATAGGAAAGGTGAAAAAACAGTACAATAAACATACACTATTCTCTACCTAGACTCAAGAATTGTTAATATTTTGCCAAATTTACCTCCATGGATAGAGATATGGCTATATTTAGTTAGTTTTTTGGTTGTTTTTTCTTTTTATAATTTTGGAATTATTTCACTAGGTATCAAGATATTTTAACCCTGCATATTTATTTCATTATGCACCTCCTAGGAAGAAGGATGTTCTGCCTCATAACCACAATACCCTTACTATACCCCAATTATCATCTAATACTTCAGTTCTCATTTGAATTTTCCCAGTTGCCTAAAAGATGCCATTTATGGTTGACTTAAAAAAAAAATCCAGAATCTGGCCAGGCACGGTGGCTCACGCCTGTAATCCCAGCACTTTGGTAGGCTGAGGCAGGTGAATCACAAGGTCAAGAGACATGGTGAAACCCCATCTCTACCAAAAATACAAAAATTAGCTGGGCATGGTGGTGCACGCCAATAGTCACAGCTACTCGGGAGGCTGAGGCAGGAGAATCGCTTGAACCTACGAGGTGGAGGTTGCAGTGAGTCGAGATCTCGCCACTGCACTCCAGCCTGGTGACAGAGTGACACTTCCTCTCTCTCAAAAAAAAAAAAAAAAAAATCCAGAATCTAATTAAAATTCAACTGATGACTTTGGATGTTACGTCTCTTTAGTCTCCTTTATTCCAGAATGGCCTCCAAGTTTTGCTTTATGTTATTTATAACACTAGCTTTTTTTCTCTCTCTCTTTTTTTTGAGACAGATTCTCGCTCTGTGGCCTAAGCTGGAGTACAACAGTGTAATCTCGGCTCACTGCAACCTCTGCCTCATGGGTTAAAGCAATTCTCTTGCCTTAGCTTCCCAAGTAGCTGTAATTAGAGGCTCCTGCCACCAGACCTGGCTAATTTTTGTATTTTTGGTAGAGATGGGGTTTTGTCATGTTGGCCAGTCTGGTCTCAAATTCCTGACCTCAGGTGATCCACCTGCCTCAGCCTCCCAAAGTGCTGGGATTACAGGCATGAGCCACCACACCTGTCCGACAACACTAGCTTTTCTAAAAGACCATGACAGTTGACTTATTAAAATGCCTTACATCCTAGACTCACCTGATTGCTTCTTCATAGCATCATTTAGCTTGTCTCTCTATACCTTTTATTTCCTGCAAACAGTAGGTTAGGTCTAAATAGGTAGCTCTTAACTTTATCAAAAATTATGTTTAAAATATTAAACAACATCAGTCATGGTGGCTCACGCCTATAATACCAGCACTTTGGGAGGCCAAGGTGGGAGGATCACCTGAGGTTAGGAGTTTGAGACCAGCCTGGTCAACACGGCAAAACCCCGTCTCTACTGAAAATACAAAAATTATCTGGTCGTGGTGACAGGCACCTGTAATGCCAGCTGCATGGGAGACTGAAGTAGGAGAATCGCTTGAACCTGGGAGGTGGAGGCTGCAGTGAGCCAAGATCAAATCACTGCACCCCAGCCTGGGCAATAAAGTGAAATTCTGTCTCAAAAATAATTAATTAATTGATCAAAAAAATAAATAAAATATTAAATGAGGCCAGGCATGGTGACTCACACCTAAAATCACAGCACTTTGGGAGGCTGAGGAAGGCAGATCACTTGAGGTCAGGAGTTCGAGACCAGCCGAGCCAACATGGCAAAACCCCATCTCTACTAAAATTACGAAAATCAGCCGGGCCTGGTGGTGAGCACCTGTAATACCAGCTACTCGGGAGGCTGAGGCATGAGAATCGCTTGAACCCAGGAGGCAGAGGTTGTAATTAACAGAGATAGTGACACTGTACTCCAGCCTGAGTGACAGAGTGAGACTCTGTATCAAAAAAAACAAATAAATTATGCGATAAATACATGTTAAGCGAAAAAGAACACAAAATTCTATATGCAGTATAATCCCAACTTTGTATAAAAAATATTTTGGAGAAAAATGATACAAAAGAAATATAATAAATACTAACCATGGTTATCTTTGAGTGGTGGCATTATTGATGATTTAATAATTTCAATAGGCAATATTCTATTTTTCTTTTCACTTAAAAAAAATTTTTTTTTTTAGGCTGGAGTGCAGTGGTGTGTTCTTGGCTCACTGCAACCTCCATCTCCTGGGTTCAAACAATTCTCCTATCTCAGCCTCCCAAGTAGCTGGGGTTACAGGCACCTGCCACCATGCCCAACTAATTTTTATCTTTTTAGTAGAGAAGGGGTTTTACCATGTTGGCCCAACCAGTCTCGAACTCCTGACCTCAGGCAATCTGCCAGGCTTAGCCTCCCAAAGGGCTAGGATTACAGGTGTGAACTACCACACCCGGCCAATTTTTTTAATTTTTAAAAAGTATCATTACTAGAAGCCCAAACCTCACCAATCACTTTTTTAAAAAGTAAGAACTACTTATTATAAAAAGCCAAACAATAATTGGTTCTTCACATTTCACAAAAGACTGCAATCTAAAGAGTACACAACCAGATGTATCCAAATACAGACAGAAGAAAATCATTAACAGCCTGTGTTGAAGGAATTATCTCCCTAGAGACTAAGATGTAAAAGTCAAAGATTTCACAGTAAGAAACTCCAAGTTCCTAGTCCTACACAGCACAGAGTTACCTAAGGAACGACAAAGGAACAAATTCTAGCCTGTATCCTCATGATATATAGCTCTCATCACTTATTCTGAAAATATTAACATTTTCAGGCCAATCTCCTGAATAGGCTAAGGATGAGCTAACTGGAAGGAAATCATCTCCTTGGTAACCCTGACAACCCATGGATTAGGATCAGAAGTCTAGACATGAATCCAGGGTTGCCCTTCAGTCAAACTGCCACATAAGTGATTAATTACTAACCAGGAAAGTGCCAGAAATACAGTTCCATTAGTTTACCTTAAATTTACTTTAATTTTAATTTTACCTTAATTTACCTTAATTTTAAATTTTACCTTAAAATTTACCTTAATTTTAAATAGTTTACTGCAATTTTTTTACCCAATATAAAAAAGTCCAGAAGAAACATTTTGAGGGTCCTTTGTCTTAACAGTGCAATACAAAAGCAGGCTGGAGTATGCTGGTGCAATCTCTCACATTTATATGGTTTAAATACATTTAAATCATTTATAATCTTACAAGGTTTGGTGGAAATAGCAGTAGTCCAATTCCTAAATCTAAAATAAAAAACTGACCTTCTGAACTCCTGTTACTCAAGAGGAAGAATAAAATACAGGTCACAAGTACTGTATGACTCAGAAAACTGGGATGCAACCTTAGATTCCTACAGGATTCAGAAAGGGGAAAGAGTAGCTAGAAATATCATTATCAAGACAAATAAATATCTAAAGATCAGGATTATCAAACAACATGTATGCCAATTTCCAGGGACCTAAACACACCAAAACCTCAAGCAAGAGAAAGCTTTACTGATGGGAAGAAGGCAGAGGGAGTAAAACAATTATACAATCTCTTTCATCTGAAGAAAAATATTTGCTGTTGCTTTAAAAAGATAAGTGACCTCTCTCCAGATACACTTACTAGCCACCTGAGAAGTGATTTTACTGTGTTCTCTCTAAAGAACAAAAGGAGCTAAGTCAAACCAAAGTCAGACGGGCTGGCTGATGAGGAGGAAGTGCCAGTCAATTGTGTTTTTCATTCCTCTTTTAAAAAGAAGAAACAAGTTTCCCAATCTGTCCATTAAAGTAAACTGAGACAAAGGTTACCAAGAATAGTCTTTGTGTATCATCACACAGTCCCCAAAATCAATTATCAATCACCAAAAGCTTATCTAAGTGGAAGCAAAACGACATGGATAGGATATGTACCTAAGACAAATGCCAGTCAAGCAGGATGGGAAGCCAAGGTGGGAAGGGTGCTTGGGCCCAGGAGGTCAAGACTGCAGTAAGTGATGATTGCACCGCTGCACTCTTCAGCCTGGGTAATAAACTGAGACCCTGTCTATAAAACAAAAAAGACAAATGCGAAGATTCCATCCCATTTCCACACATATATACTCCCACTCCCAATAACATGACTGATCACTCTCTAAAGGTGAGAAGGCGACCGCCTTTCTACATTGTCTCTATTTAATTCTAAGAGATAATTATATTTAACAACTACTCATCTAGAGAGCATGCCACAACGCGATGAGAATTAAAAGTTAGATTTAGAGGTTCCTCATGCAATTTGATTATCTTTTTTTTTATCCTTTTTTAAAATTTCTTCACCCAGGACTTTTCTCCCAATGATTATCTTATGTTAGCAATTTTAATCCACCTCCTAGCTATCTGACTCTGGGGATACATAACCTCCTTGAGACTTAGTTTCATCCTTTGTAAAACAGGATCACTCTGTTTTCACACTACTTTGAAGAAATGCCAAAGCCGGGCGTGGTGGCTCACGCCTATAATCCCAGCACTTTGGGAGGCTGAGGCGGGTGGATCACGAGGTCAAAAGATCGAGACCATCCTGGTCAACAGATCGAGACCATCCTGGTCAACAAGGTGAAACCCCGTCTCTACTAAAAATACAAAAATTAGCTGGGCATGGTGGCACACGCCTGTAGTCCCAGCTACTCGGGAGGCTGAGGTGGGAGAATTGCTTGAACCCAGGAGGCGGAGGTTGTGGTGAGCCAAGATCGTGCCATTGCACTCCAGTCTGGGTAACAACAGCGAAACTCCATCTCAAAAAAAAAAAAAGAGAGAGAGAGAAAACAGGATCACAATGTCTGCTTCACAGTGTTGTTATGAGGCTCCAAATAAGAAAACAGCTGTGGAAACATGAATCTCGTTATTGTTGTTTTTATTATTATTGAATCCTCTCTGAGGTTCACTATGGTTTCCCTCACCAAACAATAGGGCCAACTGAAACTTCAGAGATATCAAATTCCCAAGAATAGCAGAGTCCTAAGAAATATGTAAAAGGCTGTTACCAGAAAACAAAGTAAAAAGTACTCAAGAGAAAATAAAATATTTATGTGGCAAAAGAATTCAATGTGATTTGGGCTCTGCTACATAAATAAAGTGATTTAAAAACCAGAACCATGGCCGGGCACGGTGGCTTACGACTGTAATCCCAGCACTTTGGGAGGCTGAGGCAGGCAGATCACTTGAGGTCAGGAGTTCAAGACCAGCCTAGCCAACATGGTGAAACCCCATCTCTACTAAAAACACAAAAATTAGCCAGGCATGGTGGTGCATGCCTGTAGTCCCAGCTACGTGGGAGGTGGAAGTAGGAGAATTGCTTGAAGTGGAGGTTGCAGTGAGTGGAGGTCAAGCCACTGCACTCCAGCCTGGGTGACAGAGTAAGACTCCATCTAAAAAAATAAAAAACGAAAAACAGAACCAACAATTTAGAGTTGTATCTGCAACCTGACTAATAATTCATCCCCAAATCTTCCCCTTCCTATTGCATTTAGGATGTGATCCAGAAAGCTACAGACTTTCAAGAAGCTGTTAAAATGGAGTCCAATCTCCTCATTTACTCGAGTAACTACATCTCTCTTCCACTTCACTATGCCCATGTGGGCAAAGTCTAAAAGTCAAATCAACCATGTAATACTAACATATATTCCATAACTTGATTCAACCTGAGGATATACATGTTTAAAAATCCTTTAAATACGAATTCTAAGGCAACTTGACAACTTGCATAAGTGAAGTTCACCCAAATGGAAAATTAAATAAATTTCAGGCTTTTAATTAGAGGCCTAAAACTGCCCTAGTTTCTTTGGAAACTCCATATGAATAGAAATACAAAGAGTTTTCTATGACTGACAGCTTTGTTAATAGTTCTTTCCTATGGAAATTTCAGGAGACTTCAAGTGACATCATGTAGGATCGAAGTCCAAATTGTAAGCAGGCCAAGCCAGCAACCACCCCTGACTCCATACGGCTCTTGCCTGACTTAGACTAGACTAAATTTACAGGGGTACAGAGACTGTGGGGCAAAGCATCACAAATTTAGAACAGTGAACAACACAGTCTGAAGGCAAATACACCTAGAAGCAGAAAAACTCCAACTATTCCCTTAGCTGTGTATTTATTGTGTGCAAAGGATATCCAAGGATATGCCAAAGTATTAACTGGTTAACTCTAGACAAAGAAGTTATGAGTGATGTTTATTTTATTTTTGATATCCATAACATCCAAATTAGAGACAGTAAAGTATGCTCGTGTATATGGGCCCTGCAATCAGAATGGCTGATGGAATTCCAGCTCCATCATTTTCTTGGTATATGATGGTATCTTGATTTCTAGGAATAGTTACTTAACCTCAGTGTATCTTACTTTCCTCATCCATAAAATGTGACTATTGATATTATGTATATCACAGGGTTATCACAAGGATCAAAAGATTTACTATATGAAAAATGCTTATAGTAAAATAATACTTTCATTCTGTAATGAAAAATTTTAATGAAAATGGTAATAAGGGCCAGGCATGGTACCTCATGCCTGTAATCCCAGCACTTCAGGAAGCCAAGGCGGGCGGATCACAAGATCAGGAATTTGAGACCAGCCTGGCCAATATGGTAAAACCTTGCCTCTACTAAAAAAAAATACAAAAATTAGCCAGGTGTGGTGGCACATTCCTGTAGTCCCAGCTACTCAGGAGGCTGAGACTGGAGAATTGATTGAACCTGGGAGGCGGAGGTTGCAGTGAGCCAAGATCGCACCACTGCACTCCAGCCTGAGCGAGAGACTCCGCCTCAGGAAAAAAAAAAAAAAAAGGAAAGAAAGAAAATGGTAAAAGAACACAAAGTTTAGGCCACAAAGCCCTGTTAACAATCAGACAAATTAAATTTAAAACAAATTCTTCAAGGCAATATGAGAATGTCCATTGTTAAGGTCTCCAAACCATTTTATATAAAAGGTCACCTTTTTAAAAACAAAAAATAAAACCAGCCAGGCACAGTGGCTCAAAACCAGTAATCCCAGCCCTAGGAGGCTGAGGTAGGAGGATTGTTTGAGCCCAGGATTTCAAGATCAGCCTGGTCAACATAGTGAGATTATACAACATAGTGAGATAATACAAAAATTGTTTAAAATTAGTTGGGCATGGTGGCATTTGCCCGTGATTCCAGCTACTTGGAAGACTGAGGTGGGAGGACAGCCTGAGCCCAAGAGGTCAAGGCTGCAGTGAGCCATGATCGTGCCACCACACTCCAGCCTGGGTGACAGAGCAAGACCCTGACTCAAAAAACTAACAAATACAGCCGGGTGTGGTGACATGCACCTGTACTCCCAGCTACTGGAGAGGCTGAGGCGCATGCATCACTTGAATCCAGGAGGTGGAAGTTGCAGTGAACTGAGATTATGCCACTGCACACCAGCCTGGGCGACACTCTGTCTCCAAAGAACAAACAAGCAAACACAAACAAAAAAAAATAACAAAGTAAAATAGAACCATGAGACAATGGTTAAAATAGTAATTAACACTTTCATAGTACTTATAATGTGCCAGGCATTGTTCTTGGCACTTTACATAAAGTAACTCATTTGTAATTCTCACAGGCATCTCTGTGCACATGAGGCACAAAGAGTCAGTCAGTCAGTGGTAGATTCAGGATGCAAACCCACAAACCCAGGCAGTATGCCTCCAGAGTCTAGGTATCTAATTACTACAGAAACCTCTCTAATGCCTGAGATAAAACCTCCTCAACTATCTCTCTTGCTTCATATCTAGTCTAACATGTATTAGCCTTCAATCAATGTTTCACTGCCTTGCAATATCAACTGGAAATCTGCATACTTTATTTATTTTTGAAATGGATTCTCACTCTGTCACCCAGGTTGGAGTGTGGCACAGTCACGGGTCACAGCAGCCTCTACCTCTCAGGCTCAATCTTCCCACATCACCCTCCCAAGTAGCTGGGACTACAGGTACATGCAACTATGCCTGGCTAATTTTATTTATTTTTTGTAGAGACAGGGTCCCATTATGTTGTCCAGGCTGGCCTCAAACTCCTAGGCTCAAGCAATCCTCCCACCTGGGCCTCCCAAAGTGCTGGGATTACAGGTGGGAGCCATCATGCCTGGTCACTTTATTTTTTAAATGTTCATTTCCTCAGGAGTCAAGAAAAGTAGACCACTAGAGAATAAATTAAAGAATGACACTAAGGAAAACATAGAAATACATGTTCTAATGACTCCCCTGCACTGCTAGAGTTGGTCCCAAATAAGGATTTTCTATAACTACCTCAGCTTATCTGCCTATGGTAGATTCTCTCCAAAGACACTCACCAATGGCCAGGTGCAGTGGCTTATGCCTGTAATCCCAACATTTTAGGAGGTGAAGGCAGACAGATCACTTGAGGTGAAAAGTTCAAGACCAGCCTGGACAACACAGGAAAATCCTGTCTCTACAAAAAGTACAAAACTTACCCAGGCATGGTGGTGCACGCCTGTAGTCCTAGCTACTGGGGTGGCTGAGGCACAAGAACTGCTTGAACTCGGGAGATGGAGGATACAGTGAGCCACTGCACTCCAGCCTGGGCAACAGAGCAAGACTCAGAGAGGCCCTGCATGATAAAATACCACGTGGAGAGAGGGAAGCCACGTGGAAGACTATCAAGATACCAAGCAAATGAGTGAAACCTTCTTAGACCTTCTAATCTAGCTCAACCACCAGCTGAAAGCAGATGAATGAAGGACCCCAACTGATGCTACACAGGGGAGAAGAACCAACCAGTCAAGTCCTGCCCAAATTCCTAACCCACATAATTATGAGACAAAATAAATCAATGTTTTAAGACACTAATTTTGTGGTGGCTTTTTGTACATCAATGGATAACTAAAACACTACCTACCTAATATCTAGCTGACAAATATCAAGAATTTTCTACAGAAAACCCACTATCTGCTCAATACTCTAACAAGAAGCTTTTTTTTAGAAAATATGAAAATTAATAATTTAGGTAACCAAAGATATCTCAAAATAAGTTTACTTATCACACTGGCCTTTGTTAGGACTCTCTCTTCCTCACTAGATTATAAACTCTGTAAAGGTGAAAAACATGTCTGTCATAGTCCCAGTACCTAGCACAATGTCTAGCATAGAAGAGAAAGAATATTTGCATTTGCTTATATTCAGAATTGTGAGAAGATCCCAAATAAACCCAAAACTATCATAAACAGCAACATCTAGAAGTTTTAAAAGTGTGGTTAGGAGTTCAAGGTCATAAATTTAATTTCTGCAGATCAAATACCTTAAAAAGAAAAAGCTAGGCCGAGTGTGGTAGTTCATGCCTGTAATGCAGCACTCTGGGAGGCCAAAGCGGGGTCGGGGGGGATCACCTGAGTTCAGGAGTTCAAGACCAGCCTGGCAAACATGGTGAAACCCCATCTCTACTAAAAATACAAAAATTAGCTGGGCATGGTGGTGCACACCTGTAGTCCCAACTACTTGGGAGGCTGAAGCAAGAGAAGTGATTTAACCTGAGCCAAGATCACTCCACCGCACTCTAGCCTGGCGACAGAACATGACTATGTCTCAAAAAAATATATATGCAAAAATTTGCCAGGCATGGTGGCGCACTCCGGCAATCCCAGCAACTCGGGAGGCTAAGGTGGGAGAATTGCTTGAACCCGGGAGGCTGAGGTTGCAGTAAGCTGAGATCGAGCCACTGTACTCCAGCCTGGGTGACAGAGCTCTCACCCTGTCTCAAATAAAGAAAGAAAAAGAAAAGAAAAGGCTTTGCACCATTAGCAACCTAATTTCAGCCAGTCATTTCATTATGCACATGTCATTGATCACAAGAGGGCCAGGAAACAAAGTATGCAAAGGGCTAATCCAGCACTACCGTGACTGTAGATGGGGAAGAAAAAAAAGAAACCCTCAAAAATGGCAGCAAATTTTTTTTATTCTCTTATTTAAAACACAGAATATTAAGAACAAAGTAGGCTGGGCATGGTGGCTCACACCTGTATCCAAGCACTTTGGAGGCCAAGGCAGGGGGATCACCTGAGGTCGGGAGTTCAAGACCAGCCTGACCAACATGGTGAAACCCTGTCTTTAATAAAAGAATTAAAAAAAAGAGAGAAAAAGAAAAAAAGAACAAAGTACAGAGGCAGTGGATACTCTGAGAGCAGAGATAAGAATATGGGCTATTACACCTTTCAAGCTGGAGAATGCTGAATACAAAAACCTCATCCTAATTTATTCCCTAAGAAAGCTGATCCTGCAAACTGGGGATAAAGGGGTTATAAAATTTCAAGACAAGATTACTACTTTTCAAAGTAAAAGCCAAGTTAGAACAATAACCAGAGTATAAGATAAACAGGAGTTCACACAAAGAAGTCTGGCACCTACAGTTCTAAGAGAAAGACTGCAAAGGAAACTACAGTGATAAAGTGGAATCACAGAGTATATTATCTCTAATTAACCACCTGACAAATTGAAAGCAAATAATTCAACAGAATGAAGATCAATACAATTAAAATTATACAAGGTCTCTTTCTTCCTAAGAAGCCAAAATTCCAGAAATAAACTGCCAACAGGCAGAACCTGCACCTCCACTGCACACGTGCAGCGGCATTTGTTTTTTATATATAAACTCAAAATAAGACCAACTTCTATATACAGTATATCACAAATGGGCTAACAATTTTACATGTTTTGAAGATACATGTAAATAAATTCTAATTACTGCTATTATAATAAGGGGGGAGAAGTGAAGAACCAGCTTTCCTGCTACAGATTTTGCTCACTAGAGCTTTCTAAAGTAACTCACAGCGATGCTACCTAATGTCTCACACATGAGAAAGCTTGTGCTCAAAACAAAGTGTGATCAAAACTGGAAATAGAAAGCCTTAAGACTCAAATTTAAGACTGACAATTTTCCTTATTCCCACTTACCTCAGAAGGATGAAGAAAAAAAACAAATTTTATCTGCAAATTATTCTGGAGAAAACAGTGCACTGAGAGCACAAGAACTCCTAAAAACTAAAGGAAGAACAAGGAGGAAAGCACTAAACCAAGAAGAAACTGAAGCTCAATTTTTTGGTTCCAAGCTATCAAAAGACCAAGAAGGCTACTCTTAAATGTACACAAATGGCAAAAGATTTCCTATTGGCAAGCAACAACAACAAAAGAAGAGTAGCTTCTGATGGAAGAAATTTCACAGAGGCAAAAACAGCTTAACCCCAGAAACGGGAACTGAAACCAGCTGCCTCAAACAGACCTCATGACTTTGGCAACAACATACCTTTCATCCACCAACAATATCAGCAGGCTGCAGTAGGGCCGATTTCAAATCAGAAAGGATCGCATCCTTCTATTCACTGCACAGTCTTTGAGAGAGAGTCCAACTCCTTCCCTGGAGCACCACGTTGCCCCCAATACTTCCTGGAAACCCCTGGAGCTACAGCAAGAGTATTGTTTTTGTTTTTGTTTTTTGAGACGGAGTTTCGCTTTTGTTACCCAGGCTGGCATGCAATGGCGCCGTCTCCACTCACCGCAACCTCCGCCTCCTGGGTCCAGGCAATTAAAAAAAAAGAAAAAGAAAAAGCTGGGCCGGGTGCGGTGGCTCACGCCTGTAATCCCAGCACTTTGGGAGGCCGAGGTGGGTGGATCGCGAGGTCAAGAGATCGAGACCATGCCGGTCAACATGGAGAAACCCCGTCTCTACTAAAAATACAAAAAATTAGCTGGGCACGCTCGCGCGTGCCTGTAATCCCAGCTACTCAGGAGGTTGAGGCAGGAGAATTGCCTGAACCCAGGAGGCGGAGGTTGCGGTGAGCCGAGATCGTGCCATTGCACTCCAGCCTGGGTAACTAGAGTGAAACTCCGTCTCAAAAAAAGAAAAGCTTTGAGAACTAAAACCCATGAATCTTCACAAGTCCTAGGACAGATGTGATTACTCGTCAGACAAATAAGAAAAACAAAATCTGGAAGAGGTTAAGAAATTCATCTAGATTCACAGATGAGTCAGGAGCCAAAGCAGGATTTGAATTCAGGCTTTTCCTTCAAACTGTATCAGAGCTACACTCCCAGTCCTTGCTTGGCTCAGTAGATACTGTGTTCAGTGTTTTCCAATCTGAAGAGTCAGCCCAGGTCAGGTTCTTGGCAGACTGAAATAGGGAAAGAAAAAATTTCCCTCAAGGCTTCAAGAAAAGAAGTCAAATTATTAAATGCAGAGTTCTTATGCTAAAAGGCCCAGATGCCACTCTACCATGACAATCATATTTCTTAGCCAATCAAAAGAAGGCATTAGATTTAAGAACCTAGTTATTTAAATCTGAGTAGATGCTGGATTCCATTTCCCAAACGTTCCAAATAAAGAACACTTAAGGATGTAGAGGGATGCAAAAGCACTGATACATAACCAACAAGCATTTATTAAACAGCTATTATGTACTCGCTGCTGTTCTAGGCACTGAGGATACTCTAGTAAATAAGAACGTTCTTGCTCCCAAAAAGCTTATGTGATTTTTATATAATTAAGTATTAATAATACCTTCAAGTACTGTAAAAGGCTAGAAAGAAAAGGTGAAAGAAAACACACACACACACACACACACACACACACACACACACACCATTTTACCTACAGTGGCCAGAGAAAGCCTCTCTGAGATGACATTTGAGTTAAGACCAGCATCTTGAATACAAGCCTTGATTGTTCTGGATAGTGAACATTTGTCTGATTATAAAAAAAAAAAAAAAAAAAAAGAAATACAAGCCTAGAGAACAGTGGCAAGTGAAAAAAATATTTCAAGGAGAATGAAGAGCACCAAGTACTAAGGTCCCTAGAAGGTACACTTAGTACATGTGAAGGCCAGAAATAAGGCCGGCATGGCTGGAGCACTGCTAACAAGGGAGAGAACAGACACAGGCTGGTACCAGCAGACCGTGATAAAATTTGGATTTTATTAAGTGTAATGGGTTACTATTAGAGGATTTTAGCCAAGAAGGTGACAAGATGATGGAAATTTGGGCCAGGGTTTTAACAATGTAAGAGGTGAATAGTCATACTCAGAATACATTTTGGAGAAACAGCTAAGGGAATTACAGATGTACTGTCTGTGAGCTGTGAGAGCGAAATTAAGAGTAATTCCTGTTTTTGGCCTAAGTCCCAAGTGGGTAGTGGAGCCATTCACTGAGAAGGGTTCTACTATATGTGTATGTTTGGGGGTGAGGGAGCAGATTAAAGGGAGAAATCAATAGTCTAGGATTTCTTTCTATTTTTCTATGAATATGAGCCTGAGAAAATATTTATTAATTCAGGAGAAACTTAATTTTTTCCTATAAATTAATATATAATAAATATAGGCTGCACACGGTGGCTCACACCTGTAATCCCAGCACTTTGGGAGGCCGAGGCAGGTGGATCACGAGGTTAGGAGATCAAGACCAGTCTGGCTAACACAGTGAAACCCCGTCTCTACTAAAAATACAAAAAATTAGCCGTGCATGGTAGCATGCGCCTGTAATCCCAGCTATTCGGGAGGCTGATGCAGAACTGCTTGAACCTGGGAGGTGGGAAGTTTCAGTGAGCCAAGATCGTGCCACTGCACTCCAGCCTGGGCAACAGAGTGAGACTATCTCAAAAAAAAAAGGCCAGGCACGGTGGCTCACGCCTGTAATCCCAGCACTTTGGGAGGCCAAGGCGGGTGGATCACGAGGTCAAGAGATCGAGACCATCCTGGTCAACATGGTGAAACTCCATCTCTACTAAAAATACAAAAAATTAGCTGGGCATGGTGGCGTGTGCCTGTAATCCCAGCTACGCAGGGGGCTGAGGCAGGAGAATTGCCTGAACCCAGGAGGTGGAGGTTGCGGTGAGCTGAGATCGCGCCATTGCACTCCAGCGTGGGTAACAAGAGCGAAACTCTGTCTCAAAAAAAAAGAGAATAAGAGCAATCTTAAAGCCTTCTTAAGGACATGGTACATGATAGAAAAATGCCAGTATTTATCCAGTTACATATGAACTGATAAAGACAATTGATAGAATATAACACATATACTTAAAGCAACATTTGCTACACATTTGGTAGTGCTACACACTTTATCTCATTTTTTCCTCACAATGATACTATGATTAGTAGATGGGTACTGTTATTCCCATTTCACAGATCAGAAAACTGGGATTACAGAGGCTGAATGATTTACCTAAGTAAAGGAGTGATTCAAAATCAAATCTGTTGCCAAAAAAGCAGTATTGTACAGTGCTCTAACCATTATACATACTGCTTCTATAAAATATAGAAAAAGAAAAAAACTCTTTTCATGTCCTCACACCTAGAAAGTCAAAATTATAAAGGGCTGATACAAGAGACAAGAATAGGGAGAAAGAATTTGTAAATCTGAATGAATCTGAGTCAGAACACTGTGACTCATGCCATAACCTTGGACAAATTCTTTAACATCCATGCCTCAACCTATCTATCTAGAAAAGGAGCTAACCTCTCCAGAGGTAACCATTATTTGCCTCCGAGTGGGCTATGAATAGTAATTACTATTTATAATAATAATAATATATACACAGATCAGATGAGACAAGGAAAACTATACCATTATTATTATTGCTTTGATACTACAGCAGAGCACCAGAAATCATGGTAAATAAGTTATGTGCAAGAAGACCGGAGAGTGTGAGTACTCTACAAATAAATCACGGACAGATGAGGTGGCTCATGCCTGTACTCCCAGCACTTAGGGAGGCCAAGGTAGGGAGACTGCTTGAGTCCAGGTTTCAAGACCAGCCTGGTCAACATAGCAAAACCTCAACTGTACAAGAAAAAAAAAAAAAACCACAAAAATTAGCTCTGCGTGGTGGCATGCATCTGTTGTTCCAGCTACTCAGGAGGCTGAGGTGGGAGAATCACTTGAGCCTGGGAGCTGAAGGATGCAATTGTGCCATTGCACTCCAGCCTGGGAGACAGAGGAAAACCCCCTCTCGAAAAAAAAAAAAAGAAAAAGAAAAGGAACTATGTGTTTTTTTACTTCTGTTTTCCTTTTTCTTTTAATTAAGAAAATCAATATACACCATATGAATTAGTAACTGAATTCTTGGGCATTTACCCAGAAAAAAGATAACTTATGTTCACACAAAAACTTGTGTATCATCTGGGTGCAGTGGCTCGCACCTGTAATCCCAGCAATTTGGGAGCCTATGGCAGGCAGATCACTTGAGCCCAAGAGTCTGAGACCAGCCTGGGCAACACTGCAAAACCTTGTTTCTTTATTAACTAAAAAAATTAGCTGGTGTGGTGGCATGCACCTGTGGTCCCAGTTAATCAGGAGGTAGAGGTGGGAGGATCACTTCAGCCTGAGAGGCAGAGGTTGTAGTGAGCCAAGATCATACCAACCATACTCCAACCTGGGCTCATAGCCAGATTATGTCTCAAAAAAAAAAAAAAAAAAAACTTGTATACAAATATTGACAGAAGTTTTATTCATCATAGCCAAAAAAAAATTAGAAGAATTCAGATTTTTTTTCTTCAGAAGAGGTCTCCCTCTGTCGCCCAGGCTAAAGTGGGTGGCATGCCCAATGGCTCACTGCAACTTCCACCTCCCAGACTCAAGTGATCCTCCCACCTCAGCCACCCAAGTAGCTGTGACCATAGGTGTGAGTCACCACACCCAGCTAATTATTTTTTCTGTATTTTTAATAGAGTTAAGAGTTTCTTTCTTTCTTTCTTCTTCTTTTTTTTTTTTTAAATAAAGACGGGGTTTCACCATGTTGGTCAGGCTGGTCTTGAACTCCCAACCTCAGGTGATCCACCCATCTTGACCTCCAAAGTGCTTAGATTACAGGCGTGAGCCACCACACCCGGCCGAGATAAAAGTTTCACCCTGTTGCCCAGGCTGGTCTCAAAGCAATCTGCCCACTTCAGCCTCCCAAAGTCCTGGGAACACAGGTGTGAGCCACCGTGCCCAGCCAGATGTCTTTCAATGGGTAAATGATTAAACAAACTATAGTACATCCAACCCATGAAATACTATTTAGCAATTTTAAAAAGTGGAACTGGCCAGGCATGGTGGCTCACACCTGTAATCCCAGTACTCTGGGAAGCTGAAGCAGGTGGATCCCCTGAGGTCAGAGTTCAAGATCAGCCTGGCCAATAGGGTGAAACCCCATCTCTACTAAAAATACAAACATTAGCTGGGTGTGGTGGCGGGTACCTGTAATCCCAGCTACTTGGGTGGCTAAGGCAGGAGAATCACTTGAACTCGGGGGGTGGAGGTTGCAGTGATCTGAGATCAAGTCATTGTACTCCAGCCTGGGCGACAAGAGCAAGACTCCATCTCAAGAAAAAAAAAAAACTCCCACTGCTTCACTTGACTAGTTTTAAAACAAAGAAAAAAGAAAAGAAGAAAAAAGAGTGGATGGAACTACTGATAATATAACTTGGATGAATCTCAAGAGAATTATGCTGAGTGAAAAAGGCCAATACAAAAGGTTATGTACTATATAATTCCATTTATATAACAGTCTTAAAATGACAATGAGAGACATTAATAGTTGAAACACATTACAGACAGGACCAAGGCGGGTGGGGATTGAGTTACCTATCCCCTGAAGGCATTCTCTCTGGGTTTTCTGGGCAAAGCTTCAATGCAACTTTACTGTGAAACAGCCTTTGCAAAAATTTTAACAGTAAAAAAATCATGACAGTGAAACAGATCTGACCTAACTAACTCCATCTTGCCTTTAACTGCCCTTGGTTAAATGTGTAGGACAAGCTAACTTTGGGAGAAATTTAGTTTGTAGTTGAAATAATAATATCCCTTCTCAAAACTAAACTGCCTTTATAAAACGAATAAAAGGCCACAAGTTTAGGATTATGAGAGGGGCCTGAACTCCACTAAAATGTAAGCATATGAACCCAGGAAGCAGAGATTGCAGTGACTCAAGATCGGGACACTCTATTCCAGCCTGGGCAACAGAGTGAGCCGTATCTCAAGAAAATGAAATTTAAAAAAAAACATAAGCATATTAAATAGTTTTTTTTGGGGGGCAGGGGGAGGTTGAGACAGAGTCTTGCTCTGTTACCCAGGCTGGAATGCAGTGGTCCCATCTCAGCTTACTGTGGCCTCCGCCTGCTGGGTTCAAGCTATTCTCATGCCTCAGCCTCCCAGGCACCTGGGACTAGAGGTGCACACCACCATGCCCAGTTAATTTTTCTATTTTTAGTAGAAACAGGGTTTCACCGTGGTGGACAGGCTGGTCTCGAACTCCTAACCTCTGGAGATCCACCCGCCTCGGCCTCCCAAAGTGCTGGGATTACAGGTGTGAGCCACTCCGCACAGCTTTATTTATTTTTTGAGAAAGAGTCTTGCTCTGTCTCCCAGGCTGGAGTGCAGTGAAGCAATCTCAGCTCAATGCAACGTCCACCTCCCGGGTTCAAGGGATTCTCCTGCCTGAACCATCCGAATAGCTGGGAGTACATGCAAGCACCACCACACCTGGAAGTAGGGTGGAGGGCAGGGGGTTGAGAAACAATTTTGAAATACAACAGAGCATTCTGTTCTTCATAGCATATTGTACTCTCAGGAGAAGGTATGTAACCAAAGCCTAACTTGCTGGGGGGTTTTATGAGAATCAACTGCCTAAACTGAAGGAAATACCCAACTCCAACCAAATTTAGCATCCCAGGTGACAGCAGAAAAATATCTAACTCCAGCCCCCTCAACTCACCATGTTTCACTTAAAAAGAGGGTATGGTCTATAAAACATACTGGTGCAGTTCACAGTCCAGAGGCACAGGTTCACCAAAATAACAAAACCTAACCATAGGACTGTAAAACAATTCCTACCTCCAACACCTTATCACATTACCAAAGCCCTATTTATAGCAATTTGTTACATACAGCGCATCAAGCAAAAACTGCAAGGCATACTAAAAGGCAACAATCAATCATCAATCAGGTTGAAGGATTATAAGACTGAAAATTTAAAACAACGGTAATTAGGCTGGGTGTGGTGGCTCACACCTGTAATCTCAGTACTTTGGGAGACCAAGGCGGGTGTATCATGAGGTCAGGAGTTCAAGACCAGCCTGGTCAATATGATGAAACCCAGTCTCATTAAAAATACAAAAAATTAGCTGGGTGTGGTGGTGGTATAGTTTCATTAGAATTGATACCAGTTCTCTTTGTATCTGACTGAATTTGGCTGTAAATCGATCCGGTCCAAGGCTTATTTTGGTTGCTATTTTCATTACTGATTCAATTTCAGAACTTGTTATTGTACTTTTCAGGCTTTTAGCTGATGAACTGTGGCAGGAGCAGCAGCAGACAAAACCTCTCGAACACTGAACTGAGAAAGGAGTGGCTTTCTATTTGGCCAGAAGCTGCAGCAGGCTAATGCCTTAATGAGTGAGCTCTCCAAGAAGCAGCTTCTTTCTCTTTTTATAGGCTCACAACTCTAAAGGGGAAACTGAGGCAAAACTGTGTTACTGTCCATTTGCCAAGTGACCTCACAATCTTTGGCTTCACTGATTTGCTAGTTTATATGCAGCGCACACAGAAATAGGCAGGGGAGGGGGCTTACAGAGACAAGACAAAGGCTTTCTTGAAATTATTAGTTGGCAGAGGTATTTCCAGGAGGGGGTCTGGGTTGTGTAAATGTGGAGGACGTGACCCAGTTCCAGGCTTTGGCCAGTAGTTATATTCTTTGCAACACTTTCAAGGCTTATAGATAGCTTAGACGCTGGGAACCAAAAAGTGAGTTATCTTCCCAGTCCTTGGGCCTCAAGGCCTGGTCAGTGGCATCAGCAAGTCACTTGACCATGGATTCCAGTTCTTTGGTATTTTATCTCTCTTTACCCTCCTTCTTATCTGGAGGGAGGAGGGGGAGGCCTGTGAGGAGGGAGATGGGGAGGAGGTCTTTCCTCATAAAACAACTGTAGTAAAGTTTCAGAATACAAAATCAATATACAAAAATTAATAGCATTTCTATATATCAATAATATTTCGGCTGAGAGACAAATGAACACTATACCATTTACAGAAGCTAGACAAAATTGAAGTGCCTAGACATACAGCAAACTGAAGAGGACAGCTGTTAAACACTGCTGAAAGAAATCAGAGATGACAAAAAAAAAAGGAAAAACATTTATGGCTCATGGATTGAAAGAATCAATATCATAAAATGGCCATACTACCTGAGTTAGGCTGTTCTTGCACTGAGTAATTTATGAGAAAAAGATTAAGCTGGCTCACGGTTCTGCAGGCAATACAGGAGGGATAGTCTCATCTGCTTCTGGAGAAGCCTCAGGAAGCGTCCAGCCTTGGTTCAAGGCAAAGTGGGTACAGTCACATCACATAGCAGGAGTGGAAGCAACAGAAAGAGAGAGAGAGAGAGACAGAGTTGGGGTGGGGCACCAAGGACATTAAAATGACCAGATCTCACAAGAAGTCTATCACAAAGACATCAAGCGATGAGAAATCTGCCTTCATGATCCAAACACCTCCCACCATTTACAATTTGGGATGTTGCTTATATACAAAGAACACACACAATGTTACTGTGGGAAACCCTGGAGAGCAGCACACAGTAGCATGGCAGACGGCAGCCATGCTGGCCCCACCCAGGTGCTGCCTGCTGCTTTCCACTTGTGCTGCTCACTCCCCCTGCCTGGGCAGTAGCTGGAGGCTTTGGGTGGAGCTTTCCTGCCGGAGTCTTTTTTCCCCCCTTCTTTTCTTTTGCTTGGCCACAGCTCTGTCCTTTTCTTACTCCTTTTATAAACACACACCTGATTGCCTTGCCAATTATTAATTACTGGGCAGGCAAAAAATTTTTTCTGTAATGCTGTTTGTTTAAGTCAAATTCCTATAGCTGTAGTATTTTCTTTGTCCTTTTTCCTATTTATTAGAGGCTTTTGTGCATGATTCCTCCCCATTTGTTCCCAAAGCTTTACATCCAGTGTGTTCCTTACCGAGTACTATGGGCCTTGAGAAACAGCAGCTTGAATTACATTCTGTACTTTTATCTGTTGAGCTGATAACTGCTGTCCCGTGATGAATCCCTAGCCTGAAACAATGCCTCACTAAGCTTGGCAATCCCCAGTGGGTACATGACTTACTGACTTCTTGACCTGACCGCACAGTCCTCTGTACTTTCTGGTCTCAGGAGGTCTGCTGTTCCTTCTTTGCAGCAGTGATCACATTAATCTGTTCCTTGTTTGAGCTCCTGCTGCGATGGCTATCACATCAGGGTCACCATCTAAGATGTCATCTACCACCTGCGGAAGTCTGGCCTGCAGAAGTCTGGCCTGCAGACCTTGACTTAATGACAGATGAATGAATGTACTCTCACACCATTACAGTGATGAGTGGGCTAGGGATGGCCATTGGCTGCTTTCAGAGGGTGAAATGCAACCCATCAACCATGATTCCCTCTCCATCATTGCATTTATTCAGTATGAATTGTACAGCAGAGGGTCTAAGTCAACACTCTTGTGGATAATTAACATGGTTAAAAGAGTGGTTTTATGAATAAAAGCTTTAGGTTCTGGGCCCAGAGTAAACACTATTAACAGTTAATTCCCCTTTGATCTCCCCCTGAGAGGACCACCCAGCAGAAAATTTACATGAGTAAACAGACTGGAGACAAAGGGATGTGGGGTAAGCAGACTTAAATTGGAAAAGCCTGGTCCCCATTTTCTCCCTAACTAATGGGCCTGCCACCTTCAGCCTGTCTCAATAAAAACTTTTAGCCTTCTAAAAGGCTTGAGACTAATCTATAACTTCCTAATATATCTTTAATATTTTGCCAGCCACCCTGAGTGAATATCAACATGCCATGGTGAGAATGCAAGGGGAAAGAGAAAGAGAGAGAGAGAGAGAGAGAGAGAGAGAGAGAGAGAGAGAGAGTGAGTCAGAGAGAGAGAGAGAGGGAGATGTGGGGAAGGTGCCAAACGCCTTTAAATGATCAGCTCTCATAAGAACTTACTTTATGAAGACAGCATCCAGCTATGAGAGATCCACCTTCATGGTTCAAACACCTTCTGCCAGGACCCACCTCCAGCATTGGGATCTGTAACTCAACATGAGATCTGGGCAGAAACAAATATCCCAACTCTATCATTACCCAAGCAATTTATTGATTCAATATTACTCCTTTCAAAGTACCAATATAATATTTTGCCAAATTAGAGAAAACCATTCTGAAATTCATATTAAAGCAAAAATGAACGAGGATAGTGAAAGCAATCCTAAGCATAAAGAGCGAAGCTGAAGTCATCACACTACTTGATTTCTCACTACTCTATAAGGCTACAGTAACCGAGACAGCATGGTACTGGTACAAAAGCAAACATGTAAACTACCAGAAAAAAATGGAGAACTCGAAAAGGAAGCTGCACATCTACAATCATCTGATCTTTGGCAAAGCTGACAAATACAAGCAACAGGGAAAGGATCCCCTGTTCAATAAACGGTTCTGGGCTGAAGCTAGACCCTGACCTTTCACAATATAGAATTATTTACTCAAGGCTGGGCATGGTGTCTCACACCTATAATCCCAGCACTTTGGGAGGCCAAGACAGGTGGATCCCTTGAGGTCAGGAGTTCGAGACCAGCCTGGCCAATGTGGTGAAACTCTGTCTCTACCAAAAATCCAAAAATTAGCTGGGCATGGTAGCACAAGCCTATAATCCCAGCTACTCCAAAGGCTGAGGCAGGAGAATCTCTTGAACCTGGGATGCGGAGGTTGTAGTGAGCCTAAATTGTGCCACTGAATACTAGCCAGGGTGACAAAGTGAGAGAGACTCCATCTCAAAATAATTAAATAAGTAAAATGATTTATTCAAAATGGATTAAAAATTTAAATCTAAGAACTCAAACTGTAAAAATTCTTCAAGAAAACCTAGGAAATATCCTTGATATTAACTTTGGCAAATAATTTTTGGCTAAGTCCACAAAAGCTATTACAATAAAACCAAAAATGGACAAGTAAGACCTAATAAAATTAGAGCTTCTGCATAGCACCCTGAACTATGAATAGAGAAAACAGACAACATACAGAATGGTATAAAACATTTACCCCAACTCTGCAGCTGACAAAGTTCTAATGTTTAGAATCTGTATGGAACTTAACAATAAAAAAAACAAATAATCCCACTAAAAATAGGAAAAGGACACGAACAGACACTTCTCAAGAAAAATTATACAAGTAGCCCACAAACATGAAAACATGTTTATCATCACTAATTATCAGAGAAATGCAAATCAGAACCACAATGAGATACCATCCCACACCAATCAGAATGGTTGTTACTAAAAAGTCAAGAAACAGCAGACCCTGGTGAGGCTGTAGAGAAAAAGTAACACTAATACACTACTGGTGGAAATATAGATTAGCTCAGGCACTGTGGAAAGCAGTCTGAAGATTTTGTAAAAAGCAGTCTGGAGATTTCTCAAAAAACTTAAAACAGAGCTACTACTGAACTAAGCAATTCCCTACTGGGTGTATACCCAACACAAAATACTTCATCCTACCAAAAAGCCACATGCTCGTGGACATTTATCACAGCATTATTCACAATAGCAAAGACATGGAAATGACATAAAGAAAGAAAATACAATAAAGACAGATTATTTGAAAAAATAAAAGCACTGATTTTTTCCTATTCTTGAATGATCTAACATATAACAGTTTGTTCAAAGGGACAGCAATGTATTTGATTATGTATGCTTATGTGTGTTGTAAACCAAGAGTATCTGGGACAAGTCTCAATCATTAGGATGGTACTTTGCTAAGGCTAAGGATCACCTGTGACACAGCCTCGGGAGGTCTTGACATGTGTTCAAGGTGGTTCTAGACATTTCAGGGAGACATGGAACATCTACCAATATATGTAAAATGTACACTGGTTCCATACAAAAAGGCAGGACAATTCAAACTGCTGAGGAGGCTTCGAGGTCATAGGTAGATAAGAGACAAACAGTTGCATTCTTTAGAGATTCTGATTAGCCTTTCCAAAAAAGTATCAGATATGGATTTCTATCAGCGAGCAGAGGGATGATCTTGAGTTCTCTGTCCTTTGTCCACAAGGAGTTTCCTTAATAATATATACTATTATAAACAATATGATTAATAATGTATATTAATATTAAACAATATATACTATGTATAATATATAAGGATACATATTACATCTATAAGGATATATAAAATATTATAAAGAATACAGTGCATATAAATATAAGAATATATAAAATATGGATATATAATGAGAATATATATGTAAGAATACACAATATATCTAAGACATATATAATATACAATATATAAGAATATATAATATATTTATGTATATATGTTCTTTTATAAAATACACTCACACAGTAAAAGGAAAGTGTAAAACTTAAAATCCAACAATCACCAAGCCAAAGGGAAAAGTCAAGCTGGGAACTGCTTACAGAAAACCTGTTTCCCATTTTAGTACATAATAATGAAGTATATATAATATATATTATATATATCCTTATATATATTATTCTTATACATTATATAGTCACACAATATATATTACATATGATATATATTACATAATATGTGTATATTATACATATATATGTATAACATAATATATATAATCACAATTAAAAGATACATAATACATAATGTGTATTATGTATAATATGTATAGTATAACATGTATTGTACATATATTATAATTACATAATAATTACATTTGGAGCTTCTGCACACCAAAAGCTCTTGATTCACCAGGAGAAGAACACACATTTCATCTCAAATTCACAAGGAACTGCTTAGGGAAAACCTGCCTCCCATTCTAATATACAATGAAGTGTATAAAATGAAGCATATAAGAATATATATGGACATATAATGACATATAAAAAAAGATGTAGACATTCTTTTATATATATAAATATATATGGATGTAAATATATATCCAAGAATATATATATGGGTATATATATCTGCATATATATATATGAGCTATACTGTACAATTTTTATCACATAATATAATGTAATATATATTTATAGATAATATATATTCATATAGTAACAATATATAAATATAATAAAAAATTTCTCTACTCCATTATAATATATAGTTATATATTATAAATATATACTTATGATTATATAATATATAATACATATATATAATACATTATAGAATACACCATTTTATATTTATAAACATATACACATATAATTATATACATGTTACATAATTATGTACATATATAACATACATATAATTATGAAATTATATAATATATACAATTTATATATTATATTATACATTATTAATATATATTTTATATTTATTACAATATATTTTATAGTATATAAATAAAATATATAAAATGTATAGTAATATATAATACATATATTAATAAATTTTATATTTTATAAACAACGTGATATATACATATTATACATTTATATACAATCTATAACATATATAAATTGGTAGTAGTGAACCTAAATAATGTAATAAAAATTACATATAAAATATATAATTTTACACATATTATATATATAAAATATGTAATTTTATATATTCATATCATATATATTTTATACATGATATAAATTATATAAAATATGTAAAAATATATTTTACGTTATATATTTATATAAAAATACATAATATATATATTTTATAGTATATATAATTACATAATAGATATATTAATACAATCTTATATATTTTTTATATATAATCATATACACTTCTAAAATATACTATTAATCTCTATTACATGATTATATTATATGTAACATATAACATATACATTATTCAATATATTATATAATGTATATAATATAGAGTTGAAATTCTTGTAAAAATATATGGAAATCCTTAGGGCAACCACTTAAACTAATGAAGTATATGGCATACTTTATATAGAATAATACATATTATCATTATGATTATATATTTTAATGTTATATTATTACAATATGTATGTTATATTGTCATATATGATATGTAACATATAACACTATTATATATATTATATATATTCTATTATACCCCAGTATATCTACATATACACATAATTGTATTAATATATACATATATTACACACACATATAACTACATTATATATAATTATATTATAGACATATAAAAAATTATACTTATATAACATATTATGCATCGTTATATATTTTATATTTTATGATATATACTTTACATTATATATTATATATTTTATTCTTATATATTTTATTAAAATATTATATATTTTATTATATGAATATAATATATTAATATATAATATATAATGAAGTACATATTAAATATAAAATATATACATATTATAAAACATAAAATATATATCATAAATATATATTACACTGTATATATAATATATATTTTATATGATATATATTTTACTTAATATATTATATATTATAAAATTACATAGGATATATAAATTATAGCTGTATTATATATTGATATATATATGTATATATGTGCATATGTATATATCATTACATATAAGTATGTATATCATTATATATAACTATATTGTATATATAATATATACATATGTATATATGCTTATACAGATGAAATATAAAATGTATATATCATAAGTATATATTATACATATAATTTATTTTATATGTATATATTATATAAAACTATATTTTATATATATGCATATATACATATGAAATATATCATAAACATATATATATCATATAAAAATATATAAATATATATACATATGCATATACATAGCATGAAATATAAAATGATATATATTATAAATATATATTACATAGTATATATAATATTTATTATATATAAATATATATAATTTAATAATTATTTTATATGTATATATTTTATATTTTATGACAGTTTATATTATATATAATAAAGTATTCAGTATAATATATAAAATATATGCATATAATTATGTATAATTTAATTATATGATGTGTAATATATGTATATAATATGTAGATAAATATACTGGTGTATATTATATAAGACAATATATAATATATATAATTGTGGTGTGTTATATATCATATATGACAATATAATTATAACATATTACAATATATAATCATAATTATAATAGTTTATATATAAAGTATAATATATACTTCATTACTTTAAGTGGTTGCCCTAAGGGTTTTCATATATATTTACAACAATTTCAACTCTATTATATATATTATACAATAACTAATATATATGTTATATATAATTATGTAATAGATATATTAGTATATTTTATATTATATAAATTATGTATATTATATAAATATAAGATTGTAATATATCTGTATATAATTATATATATGTATATATTATATTAATGATATATATACTTAAATATATACCTATATATGATATATACAATTATATATAATATATATCATTATATAATATTCTTATATTGTATTACTGTATGTATAAATATTATATATAAGTGTATATATAATATATATAGTCATATCTATACCTTATATAATATATATAATTATGTATAATATACAATTATATATAATATTTTTATATATAAATATGTATTATATATAATTATATATGGCATATATAATATGGATATATAAGGAGATATGCATAATTTTATATATATTACTACTATATTATATGTAATTATATATATCTCCTCATGCATCCATATTCTTACATATGCCATTATATAAACTTCATTATATACTAGAATGGGAGACAGGTTTTCCCTAAGCAGTTTCCAGCTTGACTTTTCCCTTTGGCTTAGTGATTCTGGGGTCCCAATATTTATTTTCCTTTTACTGTTTGAGTGTATTTTTAACAGGAACATATATACATATATATTAAATATCCTTATATATATTATATATTCTCATATATATTTCTTATATACCTTATATATTCTTATATATAATATATATATTCTTATATATACATATCCTTATATATATTATATTATATATAATTGAAGGATATATATATTCTTACACATATAATATATATTATATACTTCATTACTTTAAGTGTTTGCCCTAAGGTTTTTCCATATATATTTACAACAATTCAACTCTACTTTCAAATAATGCGATACTACTTCATGGTAGTGTGAGAACCTCATAAAACATGATCCTAAATCCTCATCCCTGTCTCTTGTAGCACTGCTATCTTTCAACAGAATTATACATAAGAATATATATATTATATCACATTATATATTTTTACATCTTTTATATTATGTAATATATAGTATACATTATAAAATGTTATATATTGTTATAAATGTATATTATGTATTATAATGTTATATATTTTATTATCTATATGATATATAACATTATGTATATATTTATATATTACATATATATACTTATTCATAATTCAATTGAAAGATAGCAGTGATACAAGAGACAGGGATGAGGATTTAGGATTATGTTTTTATGAGGTACTCACACTCCATGAAGTGCTATAGTATTATTTGAAAGCAGAGTTGAATTTGTTGTAAATGTATATTGAGAACCTTGGGCCAACCCTTAAAAAAGTAAATGAAATAGAACTAATATGCTAAGAAAGGAGAGAAAATGTAGTCATAAAGAGTGCTCAATCAAAACCACAGAAGGCAGAAAGGATGAAGGAGAAAAATAGAAACAAATAACAAGGGGAAAAAGTTTTTTAAGTAACAATTTGTTAGACAAGAGATATTAATCCCACTATATCCATAACCACTTTGAATATGAATGGTCTAAATGCATTAATAAAAACACAGATATGGTCAGAGTGGTTCTAAAACACGAATCGACTATACATTCTCTATAAGTAACCCTCTTCAATATAAAGACACATATAGATTAAAAGTAAATGAATGGTGAGAAACATACGTTGTGCTAACACTAATCCAAAAAGGAGCAGAAGTAGGTATTAGTTTTAGACAGAGACAACTTCATAGCAAGGAAAGTTATCTGGGAAAAAGAGGGGCATTAGATCGTGATGGAGGGGTCAATTCTCTAACAAGACACAACAATTCTCCGTGGATTTATACCTAATACAGTATGAAAATATGTGAGAAAAATGTTAGCAAGAACTGCCAGGAGAAGTAGAGGAATCCACCATTAGAGTGGAGACTTCAACACCCCTCTAGCAGAAGTGAATAGATCCAGCAGGCAGATAGTCAGTAAGCACATAGTCGAACTCAACAAAACACCATCAATCAAAGAAAAGAATGGACATCTACAGACCAATTCATTCACCACCAGAAGAACACACATTTCTTCTCAAATTCACAAGGAACACATCAAGATAGACCACATTCTGGGCTATAAAACACACCTAAACAAATTTTAAGGAATATAAATCGTATCACGTCTGCTCTCAGACCTAAACTAGAAACCAGTAACAGGAAGGTAACTAGAAAAAATCCCCAAATACTTAGACACTCAGCAATACACTTCCAAATAACACATGGGTGAAAGAAGAGATCTCAAGAGACATTTAAAAATATTCTTAGCTACATGAAAGCAAAACACAACTTTTCAAAATTTGTGGGAGGATGCAATAGTACTTTGAGGAAAATTTATAGCACTGAATGCATATATAAGACAAAAAGAAAGTTCTTAAATCAGCCATTATAATTTCCACTTTAGAAAATAGGAAAAGAAGAGGAAATAAAATCCAAAGCAAGCAAAATAAAAGAAATAATGAAAATAAGAGACATCACTAATTGAAATCACTAATCCTCATTTCAATCACTTTGTTGATTGAAAACAGGAAATCAACAGAGAAAATCAACAAAACCAAAAGCTAGTTATGTGAGAAGATCAATAAAACCAATAAGCTATCTAAGGAAAAGGAGGGGGGACACAAATATCTAATCTCAGAAATGAAAAAGGGAAATCACTGCATCACCTATACCCCTACTCCATGGACATTAGGTCAGTTCTGGAGATTTTTTCCTTTGATTGGTCCATGTTCCCCTGTTTCTTTGTATGCCAAGATATGCTTTGGCTGAGATTTGTCATTTAAAAAAATCAACTTTTTTCCTGATTGGCTTCATACAAGGTTAAGACCTTGTCTGGACAGATCTTCGAGACAGAAAATCAACCCGGAAACATCAGACTGAAACCTCACTGTAAAGCAAATGAGTCTAATAGATAATTCACAGTGAGCCTGGCTATGTATTTCAGAAGCTTCTCTAAACTTCCTTGGGATGCATCTTCTCTGGACGTGTGCACATATTTTTCCAATCAGTGATGTTTGCTTGTTTCTTTTTCAGCAGCTCATAATCTCTTGCTCTTTCTGGTGTCTGTATGCAGTCCTGCGGGTTTTCTGGTGCTGCTACAGGCTGCTGAGTTCTCCTTTATTCTCAGTGGCCTCCACTTATTCAAAGTAGGTGGATTCTCCTTTAGCACTCCAAGTCATGCAAGACAGAAATCAGGCACTCAGGTAGAACCCTGAAAAGCCAGATTGTCAAACTTCTGCTCCCTCTTCTTTCTACTCCCAAGGGAGAAGCCAAGAGTTGAACATTTTCTCCTGGTTACACGAAACAGTGCCCACTTGGAGAAAGAGCTGAAATTCAACAGCTTTTCTTACCCATTCCAAGGCAGCTGTTTTTGGTTTTGCACTTGCCTGGGGTGCTGATGATTTCTGGATTTTTCATAAAGCCATTTAGGTTGCAGTCAAGATGTCAGCCAGAGAGGACTGCAGTCATCTGACAGTTTGACTTGGGCTGAAGGGTCCACTTCTAAGATGACCCAGTCACATGGTCATTAGCTAAAAGCCTCTCAGTTCCTTGCTATGTGGATGTCCCCGCAAAGCTGCTTCAAAGTCCTCACCACATAGCAGTTGGCTTTTCCTAGAGCAGCTTATTCCACAGGAGGTGGAAGGAGAAAAGTGTGGTACCTTTCCTTACCTCATCTCCTAACTCACAAACTGTCACATCCACTTTTTTCTATTCATTAGAAATGTGCCCCTAAATCTAGAGAAGATTTAAGCTCCACCTCTTAAAGAAAAAAAATATTCAAATAAGGGTTAACATATTTTAAAACATACATAAAAGTCACCACAAATATTAAACTTTAGTCATAAACACGATCCAATCTACTGTTAACCTTATATATTATCAAATGATTTACAGATCAAGAGAATATCCAAATGCATTGGATTTTATATAGGCATTTATTTTATTACTTTAACATTTATAAAGATAATCTAAAATATGTACTTAAAAAATTAGGCAGTTTTTGGATTCCTGCCTTCTTTCTAGTTTTCTCTGTGTCAGAAGAAAACAGTTTATAATTTTCATTAAAGCCAGTAATTAATAAAAAGACTACAGTTGGCATAAGTCAATCTGAGGTCCACATTAAAAAATAAGCAATTATAAATAAAAAGACTACAGTTAGTATAGTAATTAGAAAAGATGAATATGTATACTGGCAAAGATAATGGTAAGGGAAGTTAATTCACAAAAATGGTAACTTAACATAAAATAGTCCATGTAACGTACATACTTTAAATTCAGGTATGATTAACTATACCTCAAAATTAAGGTTTTAATTTTATTATGCATTTACCTAATTTTCAACTTATGGATGTCTAAACATATAAAAATATACTGCCATTAATTTTAAAAGTCTGTATATGCTAAATAAGAATATTAATGAATTTATTCACTTTTTAAAAAGCCCATAAATGCAATAAAAGTTTTTATATAAATTATATACAAAGAGTAAAGTTATATTTTGAAATTTTTTTTATTGCATTTTAGGTTTTGGGGTACATGTGCAGAACATGCAAGATAGTTGCATAGGTACACACGTGGCAGTGTGATTTGCTGTCTTCCTCCCCTTCACCCACATCTGGCATTTCTCCCCATGCTATCCCTCCCCAGCTCCCCACCCCCCGCTGTCCCTCCCCTATTCCCTGCAATAGACCCCAGTGTGTTATATTATGACAAAATTATTCTGTGTTCAGATAAGAGAGATTCCCTTTTAACAACAAAATCGTGTGGGAACTCTGTATTTCTGTTAAACTCTTGATAGTTTTTGAATTTTTAAACAATATTCTAAGGTGAGTATTTAAAGATCATGGCTGCTGATTATTTAAAAATATTGTTCAGCATAAGGGACCTCTTCAAGGAAAACTACAAACCACTGCTCAACGAAATAAGAGAGGACACAAACAGATGGAGAAACATTCCATGTTCATGGTTAGAAAGAATCAATATCATTAAAATGGCTATACTGCCCAAAGTAATTTACAGAATCAATGCTATCTCCATCAAGCTACCATTAACTTTCTTCACAGAACTGGAAAAAACCACCATGAACTTCATATGGAACCAAAAGAGAGCCCGCATAGCCAAGTCAATTCTAAGCAAAAAGAACACAGCAGGAGGCGTCACACTACTGGACTTCAAACTATACTACAAGGCTACAGTAATCAAAACAGCATGGTACTGGTACCAAAACAGAGATATAGACCAATGGAACAGAACAGAGGCACCGGAGGCAACACAACATATCTACTACCATACAATCTTTGATAAACCTGACAAAAACAAGCAATGGGGAAAGGATTCCCTGTTTAATAAATGGTGTTGGGAAAACTGGCTAGCCATGTGCAGAAAGCAGAAACTGGACCCCTTCCTGACACCTTACACTAAAATTAACTCCAAATGGATTAAGGACTTAAACATAAGACCTGGCACCATAAAAACCCTAGAATAAAATATAGGCAAAACCATTCAGGACATAGGAGTAGGCAAGGGCTTCATGAACAAAACACCGAAAGCAATGGCAACGAAAGCCAAAATAGACAAATGGGACCTAATCAAACTCCACAGCTTCTGCACGGCAAAAGAAACAGTCACTAGAGTGAATCGGCAACCAACAGAATGGGAAAAAATTTTTGCAGTTTACCCATCTGACAAAGGGCCAATATCCAGAATTTACAAAGAACTCAAACAGATTTACAAGAAAAAACCAAACAAGCCCATTCAAAAATGGGCAAAGGATATGAACAGACACTTTACAAAAGAAGACATACATGAGGCCAACAAACATATGAAAAAATGCTCATCATTACTGGTCATCAGAGAGATGCAAATCAAAAACACATTGAGATACCATCTCATGCCAGTTAGAATGGCGATCATTAAAAAATCTGGAGACAACAGATGCTGGAGAGGATGTGGAGAAATAGGAACACTTTTACACTGTTGGAAGGAGCGTAAATTAGTTCAACCATTGTGGAAGACAGTGTGGTGATTCCTCAAGGCCTTAGAAATAGAAATTCCATTTGACCCAGCAATCCCATTACTGGGTATATATCCAAAGGACTATAAATCGTTCTACTATAAGGACACATGCACATGAATGTTCACTGCAGTACTGTTTACAATAGCAAAGACCTGGAACCAACCCAAATGCCCATCGATGATAGACTGGACTGGGAAAATGTGGCACATATACACCATGGAATATTATGCAGCAATCAGAAATGATGAGTTCGTGTCCTTTGTAGGGACATGGATGAATCCGGAGAACATCATTCTCAGCAAACTGACACAAGAACAGAAAATGAAATACCGCATATTCTCACTCATAGGCGGGTGATGAAAAATGAGAACACGTGGACACAGGGAAGGGAGTACTACACACTGGGGTCTATTGGGGGGAATAGCGGAGGGACAGCGGTGGGGGGGCAGCTTGGGAGGGACAGCCTGGGGAGAAATGCCAAATGTGGGTGAAGGGGAGAATGGCAGCAAAACACACTGCCATGTGTGTACCTATGCAACTATCTTGCATGTTCTGCACATGTACCCCAAAACCTATAATGCAATTTAAAAAATATTGTTCAGAATAATTGTATTTTCTTTATGGAACTGTGACTTACATTCATGTCTTGCTTCATCGAATTACTATTCTTGATGTTGTCTTTGCTTTACCTGGCCCTAAATATGCAATAATAAAATTGCTCCTATGTATTTCATGCCTATACTATCACAGCATTTCCAAGAATAACTCTGACTTATAAGAAAATAATGAGGCTTGTTTTGGCAACCTCCAAATTTAATTAACTCAAAAATGTTGTGAAAACTTTTATCCAATTTAAGACAGAGCCCAGAGAAGAACACCAAGGTCATTTCATTTTATGCCTGTGTTCTACCAGACTTCAAAAAAGAAATCATATGTGACTTAAAAATTTAAGAGCAAAAAAAAAGAGAAAACATTTAAAAACTCATATACGGAGGCTAACATCATCATGACTGGATACAAGGTAACTACTGAAAAAAGTTAATGTCTTTCTTTGATATATGCTATAAACAAATAGAAAAAAGAAAACTAGATAATCACAATGGGAAAAATTAGCTACTGAAGTCACAAAAATGAAGCAAGAAACGTAGAAGATACACTTGAAGTAGTCTAGAAAACTTTCATCAGTCTAAACCTAAACCTAAAACCTGAATTAGAAAACTTAAAAGATACAGATGACCTTTGTCCCAAAGTCTGTATCTAAAAAGACTGAAATTTTAATCAGATGGCAATTTGTGTGTGATTTGATAAAATGTTTCAAAGTTTATATAAAAAATAAGCCCATGTGAGAATAGCTAGCTTTGGCCAAAAGAAAATAAAGAGAATGACAGGGAGTGGAGGCCTGCTTCTACTGGTTATCAGAGGATAAATCCTAGAGTACTGTGCTGATACAAAACACATTCATGGCAGTAGTGGGACAGTCAGACATGACTTATACGTAAGAATTTCAAAGATAACAAACGGAGCATTTGAAATCAGTAGAGAATGGAATTGCTATGAGAAAGTTAGGTATGTGGAATTTGAGAAAACCAGTAATAAGCTTCAACTAACATAAAGACTTTGATATAAAATCATTACTACAAGAAAGTAATTCTTTATATCCTTGCAGTAAGCAATGCCTTTTACTTATGACATGAAATACAAATATCCTGAAGTTTAAAAATGAACTAATTTTGCTACCTAAAAAGTAAAACCTCCCTTTAAACAAAATATTGATAAATAATGTTAAAAGGCAAGTGACACACTGGAAGTATTTGCAATGTATGTATTAAAAATAATATTTAGAATATATGTAGTTCATTCAAATTACTAAGAACTTGTAAAACATAGTGGGAAAATGGGCAAGAATATAAATAGGAACTGTACAAAAGAAAAAGCACAAATCATGTATTCACCAATGCAAAGGTGCTTCATCTGTCTAACGGCCAAGATGTGTGTTATAATATAACACAAAATTGCCCCATCTCATTGGTATAATTTAAAAAACACATATCCAATACAGATATTTATATGTCACTTCAGTATTTTTATGATTATTACTTTTGTTATTCTACAAACAAATAAGTCTAAAAATGGAATAAGAAAACATATTGCAAATATTTATATGATATGGGTAGGAGAAACCTAAATAAGACCCCAAAGGCAGAAGTTTAAAGGGAAGACTAATAGGTTTATCCCTATGAGAATTTCAAAGTATTCTGTACGTTAAAAGGAATACTCAATTAGGAAGTGGACAAAGATGGAGGAAGAGAAAGCTTCACTGGTGGTAACCCCTAAGAGCAAGGACACCAACTTAACAACTATCTATGCAGGAAAAAACCCATCTTTGTAAGAACCAAAACCCAGGTAACAAAACTGCCTCAAGGGGTTGGAGCACCAAGCGAGCTTCAGGACTTGACCCTTGGATGGCATTTCTGGACCTGCCCTGGGCCAGGGGAGCCCACTGCTCTGAAGTATGAATCCCAGGCCAGGCAGCATTCACCACAAGCTAACTTAAGAGACCATGGACCTTAAGGAAATATCAGTGTCTGGCAGTTACTCCTTGTGGCTGGTGGTGGCTACAGATGAGGCTCCCCTGCCTTTGGAAAGGGAGGAAGGGCAGGAAGGACTGTGACTTGCAGTTTGAGGGCTAGCTCAGCCACAGTATAACAGAAAGCAGGTAGAGCTCTAACTGTTTTGACTCCAGTCCCTGACCCCCAGACAGCACTTCTGGACCTACCCAGGGTCTGGGAGAATATGCCACCTGGAAGGGAAGGATACAGGCCTAGATGGCTTTGCTACCTGCTTGTTGTAGAGCCCCAGGGCCCTGAGCAAACATATACAGTAGCCAAATAGTTAAGGCAGGCCTTGGGCAAGACCCAGCACCGAGCTGGCTTCAGGTCTGACCCAATGCAGTGAAAGTGGTGGTGGCCACAGGGGTGCTTGTGTCACTTTACCCCCAGGCTTTAGGTGGCTCGGAACAGAGACCATGACTCTGTATGTTTGGAAAAAAGTAAGGGAAGAGTACAAGAGTCTCTGCTTGGCAATAAAGAGAATTATTCTGGATCTTTCCCAAGACGATCAAGGTGGTACCACTATGAGTCTACATGAATCCACAACATTACTGGGCTTGGGGTGCCTTGTAAAGATTGTGACACCCAAGACATATAAACATATAAAGAGTCTTCCCAAGAAGGATGGCTACAAATAAGCCCAGATAGTAAAGATTACGATAAATTCTGAACTCAATGTGCAGACACAGATGAACACCTACAAGTAAGAAACCATGCAGGAAAACATGACCTCACCAAATGAACTAAATAAGGCACCAGAGACTCATTCTGGAGAAACAGAGATATGTGACCTTTCAGACACAGTATTCAAAATAGCTGTGTTAAAGAAACTCAAGATAACACAGAGAAATAATTCAAAATTCTATCAGATAAATTTAATAGAGAGACCGAAATAATATTTAAAAATCAAGAAAATAATAAGCAGCATCCAAAGAGGAAAGAAAGAAGTCAAATGGGGAAACAATTTCTTGCCACTCGGCGCGCCACAGCCCTACACGCCGCAGTGGAGGTGAGACTGGGGGGGGGAGTGGGGGGGGCGGGGCAGCGGGAGGACACGCGGCGCCCCCGGCGGACACCACAAGTCCCATGGCGTGCCGCGACCCCCGTGTCCCTGCCGCCCGTGCGCCTGCGAAAGTTTTTCGGCTCCCGCTGAAGGGCAGCGGAGCCCCCCACGCCCCTGCGCCCCACTCCGGCCGGGAGCCTTCACGTAAATGGGTCCAGTCCTGCCTCCCAGTAAGAAGTCAGAAAGCTCAGGAATTAGTGTCTCCAGTCGACTGAGTCAGTGTTACTGGGGCAGCGGTTTCTCCAAGGCCCTTCAAGAAGACGATGCCCTCGACTTTCCTCTGCCTGACACCCGATTAGAAGAGGGGACCATGGAAGATGAAGAGCTGACCAACCTGAACTGGCAGCACAAGAGCAAGAACTTGTTGAAGGGCTTTGGGGAGTCGGTCCTCAGGAGTGTCAACCCCGTCCAGGACCTGGATGATGACAGCCCTGTGTCCCCTGCCCACTCTGACATGCCCTACAATGCCAGGCAGAACCCAAACTGCAAACCCCCCTACTCTTTCAGCTGCCTCAAATTTATGGCCATCAAGGACTCTCCAACCAAGCGCCTGCCAGTGAAGGATATCTACAACTGGATCTTGGACCATTTTCCATGTTTTGCAAATGCACCTACTGGGTGGAAAGCCCAGGACCTGACAAATTCACTGCTGAATTCCACCAAACATGTAAAAAAGAATGGGTGGAAAAACTCAGTGAGACACAATTTGTCATTGAATAAGTGTCTTAAGAAAGTGGACAAGGAGAGGAGTCAAGAGTATTGGGCACATATACACCATGGAATATTATGCAGCCATCAAAATGATGAGTTCGTGTCCTTTGTAGGGACATGGATGAACCTGGAGACCATCATTGTCAGCAAACTGACACAAGAACACAGAATGAAATACAGCATGTTCTCACTCATAGGTGGGTGCTGAACAACGAGAACACATGGACACAGGGAGGAAAGCACTACACACTGGGGTCTGTTGTGGGGAATAGGGGAGGGACAGTGCGGGGTGGGGAGTTGGGGAGAGATAGTATGGGGAGAAATGCCAGCTATAGGTGAATGGGAGGAAGGCAGCAAATCACACTGCCACGTGTGGACTTATGCAACTATCTTGCATGTTCTTTACATGTACCCCAAAACCTAAAATGCAATTAAAAACAAAAACAACGTGAATGTACCCAATGTTGCTGAACCATATACTTAAAATGGTTAAGATGGTAAATCTTATATTATGCATATTTGCCACAAAAAAAATTAAGTTAAAAAAAAAGGAAACAAAATATGTGAACAGCCCAGAAATAAAATTGCCTTATCTTTCAGATCCTGTATTTTCTGCATAAAACCTGTGCGTATTCTTCTACTGCTGCCTCAACTAATCCTATCTTCGCATTTGTGACATGTGCAAATTCAGATTCTAATTCAATAGCAGCTGAAAAGAAAAAGCAAGAACTATATTATTATTATTATTTATTTTAAGACAAGGTCTTGCTCTTTCACCTGTGCTGGAGTGCCCTGGTGTGATCACAGGTCACTGCAGTCTCTTCCTCCCAGGCTTAAGGAATTTTCTTACCTCAACCCCAAGTACTTGGAACTACAGGCATATGCCACAGCACCTTGCAAGTTTTTGTATTTTATGTACAGTCAGGGTTTTGTCATGTTGCCCAGGTTGCTCTCAAACTTCTGGGCACCAGTGATCTGCCCGCCTCAGCCTCCCAAAGTGCTGTGACTGCAGGTGTGAGCCAACATTCCTGGCCAAAGAATTACATTCTATATATTTCATAGGTAGCTAACTGTTAAGTCAGTAAAAAAAGAGTTGAGAACTTTTTCAGTGTTAATAAAAATAAAACATATATATGACTACAATGCTAAGTTATTATTAGATAATAATTTGCCAATAGTTGCCCACTGAATTAATGATCATTGAGGTTGAGTATCACAGTTTCCGGTTTTCTCATTCTTCACTCATTTATTCAGCAACCATGTGCTAAGGTACTAGACTATGACAAGCCCTGGAGTTACAAGATCAAGATGATACAGCCCAGCCCTGAGCAATCGTATGCTATAACCTGAAAAAGTAGACAAATAGGCAGTTTCCATGCCAAGCCATTGACACCCTGACACGTATAAAACAGGGCACTATTAGAACATAGGAGGGACACCTATCCCAGTTTTATCTCGATATTGTAGGCTTTTTGGTTGGAGGCATGGTTAGTGAGCGCCTGAAGGACATGAAAAAAAGATTGGCAGATAGAGCCAAGAAGCAAGCGCAAACAGCGGGAGGTAAAGGAAGAGCACTGGGGAGTTCTGTGCAGTCCAGTTTGGCTGGATGCTAGAACAAAGGGGCAGAATACAGTAAGTGGTGAGAGATATGCCTGAGGAACTTGACAAGAACCAAATGAACATGGGTGTGTATATTCCATGAAAAGGAATTTGGAACTTTTCCTGAGGGCAAAAGTAAACCAATGACACTGTAAATGACTGGGGATTTAAAGTGTTAACAGCTCAAGTGACTGCTTACAAACTATAACTGCCTCAGGTTACTAGATGAGACTGGGGTGTATTGGCCTTAAAAATCACTACCAATGGCTGTGCACGGTAGCTCATGCCTGTAATCCTAGCACTTTGGAAGGCCGAGGCCGGCCGGTCACCTGAGGTCAGGAGCTTGAGACCAGCCTGACCAACATAGAGAAACACCATCTCTACTAAACATACAAAATTAGCCGGGGTGGTGGTGTATTCCTATAATCCCAGCTACTTGGGAGGCTGAGGCAGGAGAATCGCTTGAACCCTGGAGGCAGAGGTTGCGGTGAGCCAAGATTGCACTCCAGCCTGGCAACAAGAGCAAAACTCCATATACTAAATAAGTAAATAAATGCATTTCTGAGTTGGCTGTGGGTTTGGGGTGCTCCCTGAGCCGTCTGTCCTGTTCCAAGATGCTCCAAATAATTATGAAAAATATGTGGCTCCCCATGAAGCCCACTATACCCAAGTTTACCAGGAGATTTGGGTAGGAAAGGGGCTGATGGGCTTCATCATTTATAAAATCCTGGCCGCTGATAAAAGAAGTAAGTCTGCAAAAGCTTCAGCTGCTGCTCATGGTCATCACTAACCAGCTTTACTTGGAGTACATGTGAAAGAAAATGTCAGTCTGCCTGGAAATTTGAGCAAGCTGTGTTAGATGCAGAGCGTGGAACATCACTGTACACTTCAACCGTTTACTTCATGGCATGAATGAATGCATCTGTGAGATGCATAAAAAAAAGAGAAGTGGGGAAAGATCTAAAATATACACCCTATTGTCAAAATTAAAAGAGCTAGAGGAGGGCTGGGCGCGGTGGCTCAAGCCTGTAATCCCAGCACTTTGGGAGGCCGAGGCGGGTGGATCACGAGGTCAAGAGATCAAGACCATCCTGGTCAACATGGTGAAACCCCGTCTCTACTAAAAATGCAAAAAAAATTAGCTGGGCACAGTGGCGTATGCCTGTAATCCCAGCTACTCAGGAGGCTGAGGCAGGAGAATTGCCAGAACCCAGGAGGCGGAGGTTGCAGTGATCCGAGGTCGCGCCATTGCACTCCAGCCTGTGTAACAAGAGTGAAACTCCGTTTCAAAAAAAAAAAGAGCTAGAAGAGTAAGATCAAATTCAAAAGCTAGCAGAAGACAAGAAATAACTAAGTTCAGAGAAGAACTGAAGGAGATAGCGACACAAAAAAACCCTTCAAAAAATCAGTAAATCCAGCAGCTGGTTTTTTTGAAAAGATCAACAAAATAGATAGAATGCCAGTCAAACTAATTAAAAAAAAAGAGAGAGGAGAATCAAATAGATGCAATTAAAAATGATAAAGGGGATATCACCATTGATTCCACAGAAATACAAACTACCATCAGCGATTACTACAAACACCTCTATGCACATAACAGTAAATCCAGAAGATTTGGATAAATTTCTAGACACTTACACCCTCCCAAGACTAAACCAGGAAGAAGTTGAATTCCTGAATAGACTAATAACAAGGTCTGATGCTGAGGCAGCAATTATTAGCCTACCAACCACAAACACCCAGGTCCAGATGGGTTCACAGCTACATTCTACCACACGTACGAAGAGGAGCTGGTACCATTCCTGTTGAAACTATTCCAAACAATACAAAAAGAGGGAATCCTCCCTAACTCATTTTATGAGACCAACATCATCTTCATACCAAAACCTGGCAGAGACACAACTAAAAAAGAAAATTTCAGGCCAATATCCATGATGAACATCGATGCAAAAATCTTCAATAAAATACTGGCAAACTGAATGCAACAGCACATCAAAAAGCTTATCCATCATGATCGAGTAGGCTTCATCCTGGAGATGCAAGGCTGGTTCAATATATACAAATCTATAAATGTAATGAATCACATAAACAGAACCAAAGACAAAAACCACATGATTATCTCAATAGATGCAGAGAAGGCCTTCCATAAAATTCAACAGCCCTTTATGCTAAAAACTCTTAATAAACTAGGTATCGATGGAATGTATCTCAAAATAATAAAAGCTATTTATGACAAACCCATAACCAATATTATACTGAATGGGCAAAAACTGAAAGCATCCCCTTTGAAAACTGGCACTACACAAGGGTGCCCTCTCTCACCATTCCGATTCAACATAGTATTGGAAGTTCTAGCCAGAGCATTCAGGCAAGAAAGAGAAATAAAGGGTATTCAATTAGGAAACGAGGAAGTCAAATTGTCTCTATTGGCAGATGACATGACTGTATATTTAGAAGACCCCATCGTCTCAGCCCAAAATCTCCTGAAACTGATAAGCAACTTCAGCAAAGTCTCAGGATACAAAATCAACGTGAAAAATCACAAGCATTCCTATACACCAATAACAGACTTAAAGAGAGCCAAATCATGAGCAAACTCCCATTCACAATTGCTACGAGAATAAAATACCTAGGAATACAACTAACAAAGGATGTGAAGGACCTCTTCAAGGAGAACTACAAACCACTGCTCAAGGAAATAAGAGAGAACACAAACAGATGGAGAAACATTCTATGCTCATGGTTAGGAAGAATCAATATCATGAAAATGGCCATACTGCCCAAAGTAATTTATAGATTCAATGCTATCCCCATCAAGCTATAGTGACCTTCAAAGAACAGGAAAAAAATCACCTTAAACTTCATATGGAACCAAAAAAGAGCCTGCATAGGCAAGACAATCCTAAGCAAAAAGAACAAAGCTGGAGGCCTCATGCTACCTGACTTCAAACTATACCACAAGGCTACAGTAATCAAAACAGCATAGTACTGGTACCAAAACAAAGATATAGACCGGGAACAGAACAGCGGCCTTGGAAGTAATGCCACACATCTACAACCATCTGATCTTTGACAAACCAGACAAAAACAAGCAATGGGGAAAGGATTCCCTATTTAATAAGTGATGTTGGGAAAACTGGCTAGCCATGTGCAGAAGGCTAAAACTAAACCCCTTCCTTACACCTTATACAACAATTAACTCCAGATGGATTAAAGAGTTAAACTAACTAACTCTCTAGAGTTAGTTGTTAACTCTTTAAAAACTAACACTATAAAGAACCTAGAAGAAAACCTAGGCAATATCATTCAGGACATAGCCATAGGCAAGGACGTCATGACTAAAACACCAAAAGCAATGGCAACAAAAGCCAAAACTGACAAATGAGATCTAATTAAACTTAAGAGTTTCTGCACAGCAAAAGAAATAATCATTAGAGTGAACCAGCAATCAACAAAATGGGAAAAAATTTCAGCAAGCTACCCCTCTGATGAAGGGTTAATATCCAGAATCTACAAAGAACTAAAACAGATATACAACAAAAAATACCAACCCATCAAAAAGTGGGCAAAAGATATGAACAGACACTTTTCAAAAGAAGACATTTATGTGGCCAACAAACACATGAAAAAATGCTCATCATCACTGGTCTTTAGAGAAATGAAAATCAAAACCACATTAAGATACCATCTCATGCCAGTTAGAATGGCGATCATTAAAAAAATCTGGAGACACATGCTGGAGAGGATATGGAGAAATAGGAACACTTTTACACTGTTGGTGGGAGTGTAAATAGTTTAACCATTGTGGAAGACAGTGTGGTGATTCCTCAAGATCTAAAAATAGAAATTCCATTTGACCCAGCAATCCCATTACTGGATATATACCGAAAGGATTATAAATCTTTCTATTATAAAGACACATGTACATGTATGTTCATTGTGGCACTGTTTACAATAACAAAGACTTGGAACCAACCCAAATGCCCATCAATGATAGACTGAGTAAAGAAAATGTGGCACATATACACCATGGAATACCATGCAGTCATAAGAAATGATGAGTTCATGTCATTGCAGGGACACAGACGAATCTTGAAACCATCATTCTCAGCAAACTGACACAAGAGCAGAAAACCAAACACCAAATGTTCACTCATAAGTGGGAATTGAACAATGAGAACACATGGACACAGAGAGGTGAAGATCACACACCAGGGCCCATTGTGGAACAGGGGACTCAGGGAAGTATAGTGGCAGGTGGGGAGATTGGGGAGCGATAACATTAGGAGAAATACCTAATTAGGTGATGGGTGGGATGGAGGCAGCAAACCACCATGCGTGTGTATACCTATGTAACAATCCTGCAAGATATGCACATGTACCCGAGAACTTAAAGTAAAATTAAAAAAAGAAAAAAAAAATCACTACAATAACCCTGAGAACCTGATGAGGCCTTTGTTTTCTGAGGACAGTTTCTGTGTGCTGGCTGACAGTCTCATAGGGATGGCAAAAGTCAAGTGTAGAGCCTGACTTCTTGAGCTTTTTTTTCAAGCTATGGAAGGTGATAATTCATGAGGCATAAGTATGCTCTTCGTTATACATGTTCGAGTTTTCACATCTTTCATTAGATGTGTGTAAGAGGGAATATTTAATGTAGTACCTATTAACCAAAGAATGAAAAGGGATGTCATTTGCAGTTTATTTCACACATATATTACTTAATCTAAATTTAATTTATAAATTTTGGTAATGGCCAGCTGTGGTGGCTCATGGCTGTAATCCCAGCACTTTCGGACGCCAAGGCCAGTGGATCACAAAGTCAGGAGTTCAAGACCAGCCTGGCCAAGATGGTGAAACCCTGTCTCTACTAAAAATACAAAAACTGGCCGGGCATAGTGGCAGGTACCTGTAATCCCAGCTACTTGGGAGGCTGAGGCAAGAGAATTGCTTGAACCCAGGCAGCAGAGTTTGCAGTGAGCTGAGATTGTGCCATTGCACTCCAGCCTGGGCGATAGGGTGAGTTTTTTTTTCTTGGTAACATACCTGTTACTCTTGCTCAACGTATATCTTTTTCCAGCTTCTGCTGCATCTGAAATAAGTCAAATATTATTTATAATGTCTAAGAAGAGACCTTATTAAGAAGTATCAATTACAAAATGTGGCCTTTATATAATACTTTAAGAGACTAAACCTAACTTGAAGATTGCTTTTAAAAAAATCACATATCGGGGTCCAAAGTGGCTCCCGCCGGAGGTCACGGCGCTTGCGAAGGCGAGGTCATCAGTTCAAGGCTAACCTGAGCAACCTCATAAGCTCAAACTGATTGGCAAAAAAAAAAAAAAATCACATAAATTCATATTTTAAGTTTAGATAAAGGGGAACATATATGTGTTGTGCTGTTTAATCTCATAAAAGCAGAATTAATATTGGTCTGTTGAACAATGTCATTTCAAAAGTATGAGGTTTTCCCTTATTAGTACAAAGGTTAAACAATTCAACTCATATTTTACAATGAGTGCATTACTTTCCCATTCTTATCAAAACTCTGCACCTCATAAAAGTCTAATCAGTTTTTCACTTTAATGAATAGTTCCTTAAAATGAACTCTCCATTCTCCACTTGTATAAAATAATAATTTTAACGTATGTCCTTTACTATCGATTCGGCACAGAATCTTTAATACACACTTGAAGAAAGCAGTGTCGTTGTGATGGCATGTGAATTATTCCACTGGCAAAAGATTGAAAATATTATACTATTATGGTTAACATTTCTTTATTCATATGGACACAAAGATTTCAGAAAATTTACATGAAAACAAGAATAAAAATAGGTTAGAGCCAGTTTTCAATCTTAGTTTCATTAACTGATTCGTGTCTAGAATTAGAAACTAGGAAAACAATTTAACTGCACCTTTGATTTTGCAACTTTGATTTCTTTTCAGAAATTAGTATCCATTTTTGAAGGATCTGACAAGTTATAGTTATCTACTTAATTATGAAAGGTGTGGGAATATTTCAAACTTATTGTCAGTGTCTCTATCTAGAGTGCTCTCATTTAAATCTTTTGTAGAATAGGCACTCTCTCACTAAAGGCCCAGAAAGGGTCTGAGATGGTTTGTGGCGAGAATGATAATGATATCTAATGCCTTTATAAATTTTAGGTGTCAATTTTTTTTTGACTAACAGGTTAACCAATATTTTGAGCCTCCTTTCCGTAACATTTCTGTGACAAAAACATTATAAACAGGCTTTACAGAGTAAGTAACATTGTGACATGGTAAAAGCCCCATAAAACCGCATACCTCAACTATACCTCAGCTTTCTGTTGAAACTGCTCCCTGTAACCCTGATGTGACAGGCGAGCAGTCCAAACCCACACCATGTTGGCCCCTGCAACTTGTAATAAGTAACTAAGGTCTGTCATTTCCACCCTACCCAGACAATGTGTAAACTAATGCTTAACTTCCATGAACCACTTAAGTAACAATCGGAATGTCCAAAGCCCCTCACCCTCACCCTCAACCTCACCCTCACCCCCGCCCAGGAGGTGGTTTATGGGCATAAAAGGTCTTGACACCCTCCTTTCAGGGCCACGGGTTGAAGAGACGTGAGTCCTCCGTGGCCGCCAGCAATAAAGACCCTGCAATTTGGCATACTTTTGTCTTGGTGTTAACTTTCTGTTGTCGCTCTGGTATAACAACATGACAACAGCATTACCAGCCAGGCCTTATAAAAGAAGTAACTCAATACCAGATAAAGGGGGAAGCCTTTCTTCAAAGAACCCCTAGATATTGCCACCCATAAGCACTATGTAAAAGTACATTTTTACATAACTCAAACTAAAACACTCTACTGTAAAGTTATCTTTTCTCCCAAAAACTCTTCTGCTAAATCTTACCAGTGTAATAGATTGTATTATTTCTTTCTACCCCATTCACAAATACTTTCATACTACCTCAATTTTGTTAACATAAAAATGAGATACTCTCCTTAACAAATTGCTTACTTTTATACTGAAGAAATCCTAACTCTGTAGAGAGAGAATACTTTTGTATAACAACTTTAAATAAAGGTCATTTTATCTTCAAACTCAGAAATAGGTACATGGTAGAAGTCTCTGCCCCTTTCCACTCCCGGAGTGGTTTCCCCCTGCACCAATTCTCTTCCAGCCTTTCCCTGACCCTTGACTATTTCACCACATAAATGACAGTGGAGGGCAACAGCCTTTGGGAAAGAGATCCCAGGTCAGATGTGAAAGCAGAGAGAAAAGGGACAGACCCAGGACACAGGGAGGGAGTGCCTCTGGGACCCAAAAGCTTAGGAAAGGGGTCTTGAGTGTTAATGACTCCAGTTTTTTCCTGGCCAGTGAAAGGCCCAGAATATTGAGAAAAAATAGTTCCTAAAAAATCTTCCCTTGCATCAGATCTGCTTTTTATACTCTCTCATCACCATCTTGTAAAATAATACATTACCTCACTTTTCTGGTAAGTACTGTGAACAGAAAAAATATCTTGGGCCCCAAAATAACTAAGCTAAAAGGAAAACTCAAGCTGGAAATTGCTTAGCGAAAACCTGCCTCCCATTCTATTCAAAGTTATCTCTCAGCTCACTGAGATAAATGCGTATCTGACTGTCTCCTTCGGAAAGGCAAATCAGAAACTCAAAAGAATGCCACTGTTTGTCTCTCACCTATCTGGAAGGAAGCCCCCTCCCAACTTCCAGTCTTCCTCCCTTTGCTTCAAGTTGTCCCACTTTTCCAGACTGAACCAATGTACTTCTTACATATATTAATTGATGCCCCCTGTCTCCCTAAAATGTATAAAACCAAGATGTGCCCCGACCACCTTGATGTCATCAGGATTTCCTGAGGCTGTGTCATGGCATGTGTCCTCAACTTTGGCAAAAAAAACTTTCTCAATTAACTGAGGCCTGTCTCAAATTTTGAAGGTTCACAGTACTAATGAGAACATTATATTTGTATCATGCTTAACAATTTACAGATTTATTTAACATTCATTTTCCTTTTGTACCCAGTGGTACAATTTCATGACTGAAGCATTTGGATGCTAATCATCTTATTTTTTTTTCAGAAAAAGAAAACCTAAGCAAACAATATGATTAAAAATCTCAGCTAGCTGGGCTTTTGAAATCTATGTATTAAAACAATAATTTAATTCACTGCCTTTTAAGCTATTTGGCTGCAATGCTGTCTAAGAAACCACAGATTTGCTCTTCTGTGATATGTTAGAACATGAAATAGCCAGGTAAACACAACAAGGTCGAGGCCTCATTCCATGTGGGCCTATGCTAATTTTCTATGCATTTAGGAGATCATAAAAACACCAAAACTAAGCCAGGCCATGGTGGCTCAGATCTGTAATCCCTGGACTTTGGGAGGCTGAGGCTGGCAGATCATGAGGTCAGGAGTTCAAGACCAACCTGGTCAATATAATGAAACCCCATCTCCACTAAAAATACAAAAATTAGCTGGGTGTGGTGGTGTATGCCTATAATCCCAGCTGCTTGGGAGGCTGAGGCAGGAGAATCGCTTGAACCCAGGAGGCAGAGGTTGCAGTGAGCCAAGATTGCACCACTGCACTCCACCCTGGACAACAGAGCAAGACTCCATCTCAAAAAAAAAAAAAACCCAACAGGCTGGACGTAGTGGCTCACACCTGTAATCCAAGCACTTTGGAGGCCAAGGCGGGTGGATCACCTGAGATCAGGAGTTCAAGACCAGCCTGACCAACATGGTGAAACCCTGTCTTATAAAAAAACAAAAACCAATAAACAAAATAACAACAACAACAAAACCACTGAAACTATAAGCCAATGTGCATTGACTGAAATTTAAAAAAATAAAAATATACACAAAGAAAACTATTTTTGTTCATACAAATATTTTATGGATTTTGTAATTTTTATAAGAGGCAGAATCTTGCTATGTTGCCCAGGCTGGAGTGCTACAGTGTTACAGAACAATCATTACACACTGAAGACTTGAACTCCTGGGCTCAAGTGATCTTTCTGCCCTCAGACTCAGGTGTAGCTGGGACTACAGGTGTGTGCCACTGTGCTCAGCTTTTATAATTTTCCTCCAGTTGAAAAATAGACAAATGTAAGACAAATACCTTAATCTGAGTTAAGCATAGCTGAACTCCTTTTTTTTTCTTTACCAATTCTATAATTGACACAGCTTGTCATTCTTGGATCTATTTGGAAATCCTCAGAAATAGACTTACTCTGAGTGAAACTGTTGTAGTCGAGTGAGCATAGAAAGTCAACACCAAGACAAAAGCATGCCAGATTGCAGGGTCTGTATTGCCGGCGGCCACGGAGGACTCACGTCTCTCCAATCCGTGGCCCCGAAAGGAGGGTGTCAAGACCTTTTATACCTGTACAACCACCTCGGAAGTGAGGGTGAGGAGCGTGGGTGGAAGTGAGGGGCTTCGGACATTCTGAGGGCTAGTAGATTCTGTAAATCACCTCCTGGGTGGAGATGAGGGTGAGGGGCTCCGGACACTCCGAGGGCCAGGGGACTTCTGACATTCTGATTGTTACTTAAGCAGTTCACAAAAGTCAAGATAAGCATTTGTTAACACATTGTCTGCGTAGCATGGAGATTACAAGTCACAGGGGCCAAGATGGCATGGGTTTGGACTGCTTGCCTGTCACATTTAAGTTACAGAGAGCAGTTTCAATGGAAAGCTGAGGTTTGGTTGAGGTATGCAGTTTTATAGGGCTTTACCATGTCACAAAACCACATAGTTGAACTAAAAGGTTCCTGTTACTGGTCCATGGCAGATGTCCATGTGCAGCTTTAGATGGCATTTGGGGTAGAAAGAATAGAATTGATTCTCTTTGGTCACATTTGCTACTGAAGGACTCTTGACATCACTGCCATCTTGGTCGTCAAGTTATGGCTAGGTAGAGAGACATAACTGAGCTTTACTTTAAAAATTCAGTTATTTGTTTATTTCAGAATCACTATACAATTGCATAGCAATAGACACATTTTACAAAAATGGAGATTAAAACGCTGTAAGAGCAATAGCAATGACAGGTGTACTCGTGAGAAAATCACAAAACTTTTAACTTAAAGAACAGAGATTAATCAAGCGTTGCAGGTTTATACAACGTATTAAAAGTATTCACGCTGGATCTGTTTAAATAATAAACATCCATGTGTGGTTAGTGTGTGGATACCAATCATTCACATATGATGAGGGGTAGAAAACCTGAGACTGAAGCAGAAGTGGCCTGGAGAAACAGACCTCTCTCAAACACCGAACTGCGAAGGAAGAGGTGTTTATTATTATTATTACGGCCGGGAGCCAGGCGACAATTTGTCTAAATGACTACACTCTCCTAACAAAGAGAAGCTCTGCCTTTATATAGGCATATTCTCCAGATATTACACATGAAAGAATCTTAGGTTTACACCTTAGAAATTACAAGTGAAAGGGTCTTGGGTTTACAGCTTTAGAAATCACATATGAAAGGGTCTTGGGTTTACAGTTTTAGAAAGCACATGTGAAAGGGTCTTGATCATGGAGGAGTGGGATGGGGTTTTGATCTTGTTTAAGTAAAAGCAATGTCTTCTGGAGAGATTCCCCCACACCATGCCTGCTATTTACAGGAACCTGATTTAGTAGGCCAGTCAGCCATCCTTTTTTTCTAATGAAATGCAGTGTGGAGCTCATGGGGAAGGGGATCCTAGATGCCTGGGTCTCCTTGTCATGATGATGTAGAAAAACTTTCAAAGTGACCCCAGGCACACTAAACCCTTTAAAAGTGAACCCCAGGCAAACATAAAATCAATTAGTAAGACACGCACATCAAAGTATACCTTTGTTAAAATCTAACTTAATTGTGGTTTTTAAAGACATGTAAAATGTGTCAGTTTGGTTACCTTTATTGAATCAAGTTAACAAAGGAGTAATCTCCTGTGAATGAGAGCTCCGGGGATTCAAAAATCACTACAATTTCTGTCTCCTCTTTATGAACAGAGATAATGATTACCTTTGCTTACCACACACAACACAATTAAACAACTGAGTATTTCAGCAAGTAACATACCAGAATTATATCAGAAATCTAAACAGCAAAGGAAAAAGATAATATAACTAACCCTCGACATGAAGCTCTCCATGCTCTCATGTGAAGACCTGCTTTTTCCTTCAATATGTCTTCTGTTGAGACATTCACTAAGATTTCCAACAGAAGGTGACACTAGAACTGGCCTTGCAGTAGAAGCAGTTGCTGGATATCTGGTCTTCTCTTTCTCCACAGTAAGCTGGGGACTGACCTCTGCTGTCATCTCCATGGTTCTATGAAGATTACAAAAGACAAATGATTAGTATTTCATTTTTTCCTAAATGACTTCAAGTCTTCTAAAAGTTGCCATAAAAGTAAATGGAATATACTGTAAGCCATATTTTAACTCTGAAAATGTGTTAGAGCACACCTACAGTTACAGTTTTAACATAGTTCTAAAGAAGTACATATATTTCTAGGGGGAACAACTAGTCTGTTGGAAATGCCCCTAGAAATCATGTTGTACTCCTTAAATATATACAATAAATCATGTTGTACTCTTTAAATATATACAATTAAAAAGCTAAAAGAAAAAAATAAAAGCTAGAAATACTTGTATTTAGTAAACTAGTTAGAGATTTTTAAAAAACTATCAGTCAAAGACATTTTCAAACAACTGTTTTTACTGCCCTTGTACATTTCACCCAGTATCTGGAAAAAATTGAGCATTTGGCATTGAGGAATCATTCAAGGGGACTTTTCCTAGGGGAGAATAAGACAGCTGAGATCAAAGAGAGCTAAAGCAGCATCAACGAAATCAGCTCCTAACACTGTGGCCCACGCATCAGAGGTGGGGCCTGCCCTTTCTGTCTTCCACACACCCCCTCAGGCTGACCGAGGTGCTTTTTTTTTTTTTAATCACTTAGTAAGTGATACGTCCCTCCAACCCTATGTTAATCATTCTGTACTTCACAAGTGTGTCTTGACGTGGAGCGGAAGAACTATACAGGACACTTCTTCTCAAGGCGCCCTCTAATGATCACAGTCAAGCAAAGGGAATTTACTCAGTGCCAGAAGGTGCCCAGAGTTGTCGTACTTGACCCAAGGTTTTCAGCTGCCATCTTCCAAAAATTAATTAAATTCATTAATATTTTGAATTAAGGGAATACTGACAATTTTCATCATGATATCACTGTCTAAATTACGAAGCTTCACAAATATTTAGCAGAAACCCTAATAGATCGGGTTAACTATACAAGAATATTAAGGGGCTGGGGGAAGCCACGTAAAACCAAAAACAGCGGTGACATGAACTGTCCTGGACTAAGATTTTAAAGGTTAAGTTCATTTACTATTTATAATTTACAATGTTCAAAAACTGTACAGTCTAGTTAGCTTTCACTTCCCGCAAATCTCATGAACCTGTCTCACTGGAAGTTATGCTCTGGATGGCAAATTAATGAGCTTACCTTATTCGCTATGATTCTGTACACTGACTTACCTTCTCAGTTCATTTGACAAGGATTTTACAACTTGTAATTTTTCTTGGTAGAGTTTCTCATACATTTCCAATTCGATTTTATTTTCAGCTTCCGAAGTTTTTACTCTGGAGTGTTCAGATTGCAGATCTTTGATTGTGAGTTCCAGCCGAGTTTTCTCTGCAGGAATATCATTCACCCTTTGCACTAACTGTTCTTCAGATGCTGCTTGAGTCTAAAATAATTAAAAGGGAACATTTTGAAAGTAATTATTACCTGAATAATTACTGTGCATTTGTTTCCTTTTCTTTGGAGCCAGTTATTCAGAGAACAATTTTAAGTATGTGAAGAAAGAAAGAAGCTCAAGCTTCACATATTTATCATCAGTATCAACTGAATTAATAATTGAGTCTGAGTTGTACAACAATCCTCCAAACAATGACAGAAACAAGTTAAAATTTTAAAAATGGAACAATGTAACTTAAAAGCAGTTCAAGAGTATGGTATAATTTCTCAATCACAATTTTTTCTTTTTTACTTTTTCTATTAGTCTTCTTGTATGCATACTAGCCTTAGTAATCAACGATTTTCTAGTGAGAATTTTTATTATGGAAGATCAATTTAGTTATAAGAATGTTGGAAAAGAAAATATTTAAAGGGAGAAACAGATATCACCTTCCTTCTAGAAGTCTGCCAAACAAATTGCTGTAAGAAAAGTACAGAAAACATATACGATGGATATATGCACAATGGAATGTGCAGTGAAACGAATGAAAGCACATTACAGACAAATGAACCAACGTGCAAGAGGAGACTGATTTCCTTTAACTCTTCCACTATCTTCCGTCTTGATCTTTCTTCAATCGGCACTTCATACTGTTCAGCTTCACCACGTTCTAACATTTTTCTCTCCATATAACTTTTGAGATTTACTATTACCTGTTTCAGCTGCTGCATCTCCTCCTCTAGTGTTTGACATTTCTTTTCTAATGCTTTTGTAGAGAATAATATCTGCTGAAGAACTTCATTCTCTGCGTCCAGATCTGGACATTGTGAAGGTGCAGTTTCCTGTGGTTCTGTAAGGTCATCCTGCATGAGTCAAAAAACAATATACTTTGGTAATGAAGGAGGCAGACAGAGGCCGGGTGTGGTGGCTCACACCTGTAATCCCAGCACTTTGGGAAAACGAGGTGGATGGATCAACTAAGGTCAGGAGTTTGAGACAAGCCTGGCCAACATGGCAAAACCCCGTCTCTACTAAAAGCACAAAAATGAGCTGGGTGCGGCGGTGGGTGCCTGTAATCCCAGCTACTCAGGAGGTCCAGGCAGGAGAATGGCTTGAATTGGGGCGGTGGAGGTTGCAGTGATCAGAGACAGTGCCACTGCACTCTAGTGTGGGCAGGAAGAAAATAAGATAAAAGAAAGTAGACAGAGAATGGTCGAACACAAAACTAATCATTTTTTAAACGAATTCAGTTGCAATAAAATATTACCTATACTGTTGTAGATTCATAAAAAAACAGACCCTTGGATTACTCGGAAAATTAAAAACAAGTTAAACCACCAGAATTCACAAAAATATATCCTTTACTCTCATCATTTTTTCCACATAACATTTGGATTTGATCTTAGACTTCTGTTTTTCTATGATCATTTCATGGCTTTCCTCCTTAAAATGGCTCTAAGTCACCCCCTTAGCACAAGTCTCTTACTCCTTTAACCCCCTGTCATCCTCCGTAATGGGAGCCATGTCTTGACTGAGGCCCAATAGTTTAATATGGAAGGTTTAGGGGCGTCATATTAAATTATTTGAGCCTCAGTCAAGACATGGCTCCCATAATAAGACTCTGAAAATAAGACTCTAATAAATCTTGAAAAAAAGTGGATTCCAGCACCACAAGCCTCTTGCTGAACTGCAAGTGCCTTAAGTTAATTTGAATTACATTTCAAGGAGTAATGACACTTGGAGTGAAGAAGCAATCACATCTCCCAGTATAAAAGTTGAATGACAGGATCCGTCCGCTTTTCTGAATAAAAATGCCTAATTTAGTAGCACGGTCTTGTAATTCGTTGCTGCTTTACATGAAATAAAAGAGCACATTAAACGATGACAACAAAAAATCTCGCTGAAATTTCCGTGGTGCTGAGTTGGAAAGAACTGCTTTCCTTTAGAGGAAATGACTAGGACTTTTTTATTTTAAAAACGTAAGTGAAGTGGTGGTTTTGAAACATCTGCAAATTGCTTGCCACTTCTCCCGTGACATTCCCTCTCCTGAATACAAGCTGGCATTAATAACTGGCTTCTCGTGAACATAATGTGGCAGAACTGCTGTGTGACTGCTAAGGTTGGGTTATAAAATGTCATACAGCTTCCACCTGACTCTCTTCCTCTAGGGACTCTAGTCCTTCAAATGTAGCCAACACGCTGTGCGAAAGCCCAAACTACATGGTGAATCCTCACGTAGGTGGGTGTTTGAGTTGTCTTCCCTACCTAATGTCCGCCAAAAGCAGCTTCAAATGCCACAAAGGTGAATGAACAAGCCTTTAGATGATTCTAGTCCGCAGCTTTAAGTCACCTCAGCTGATGCCAAGTAAAGAAAAAGTGAGCTGGCCCCACTGAGCCTTGCTTATAACTGCAGCTTATGAACAAAATAGATGTTGTTTTGAGACACGACATTTTGTTACATACCAAGAAGTAACTGATACAGATATGGACACTACATATAGACTGCATAACAACAAAAACTACTCAACACGTAGGATTACCACTGGACCAGGAGCTCAGCAGAAGTTAAAAGGACCTACAGAAGAATAAGCATGAAAACAAAAAGAGTCTTAAAGTGACTGTGAGTGGAAGCCTGATGGTCCTCAAAGAGGCGGGTAGGGAGGTTTTAAGGATAGTGAAGAAAATGATACTGGAACCCGAAGGCAAGGACACTTACTACACAGCTGCAAATGGAAACCAAAAGCATGCAGGAGCAGCTGTATTTCTATCAGACAAAATAGATCGTAAGTCAAAAAAAAAACATAAAAGAGAAAAAGAAGGTCATTACATAATAACAGGATCAATTCAGCAAGTATACAACCATCATAAAGGTATATGTACTTAACACCTGAGCACACAGATATATAAGGCAAACATCACTGAAACTAAAGAGACAGACAGTCCCCAGTACAAGAGTAGATGAGGACTCCATCACCTGACTTTCAGCGCTGTAAAGATCATCTAAACGGAAAATCGACAAAGAAACATCAAAATTAACTGCACTGTAGACCATAGGGACCTAGCAGACACTTACAGAACATTTCATTAAAAAGCTGCAGAATACACATTCTTCTCATTAGCACATAGAAAATTCTAGAGAATAGACCATATACTGAGTTTAAAAACTCCTAGGAATCAAGTATCTTCTCAAACCACAATAGAATAAATATAGAAATCAATAACAAGGACAAAAATTTTGGAAACTCTACAAACACATGGAAATTAAACAGCATGCTCCTGAATGAACAACTGGGCCAATCAATAAATTAAGAAAAAAATTTTTAAAAATCTTGAAACAAATGAAAATGGAAAAAACCAACCCCTATAGAAAGTGACAAAAGAAGCACTAAGAGGGCAATTTATAGCAATTAACAGCTACATCTACAAAAGGAAAAGACTTCAAACAAGCAACCTAACAATGCACCTTGAGAAACCAAAACAGCAAGAACAGACCGGAAACTCAAATGTAGTAGAAGGAAAGGAATGATAAAGGCAGGGCAGGACCGAATGAGGTAGAGTAAGAAAACAAAACCAACAATACATCCTTCAAACTAGAAGATGGTTTTGGGAAAAGACAAACACAACTGATACACTGCTAACTATATTAAACAAGAAAAAAGAGAAACAGAGAAGGAGATATTAAAACTGACACCAAAGAAATACATGGGGTCATGAGAGACTATCGTGCACAACTACGTGCCAACAAACTGAAAAGCCTAGAGAAAGTGGATACATTCCTGGAAGTGCATAGCCAGCAAGAACGAACCAAGAAGAAATGGAAACCTGAACAGACCAAGGAAAGGTTACGCAATTGAATCGGCAGTAAAGTTTCCCAACAAAGAAGTGTAAAGCTGGATAACTTGACTGCTGAATTCTATTAAACTTTTAAGGAAAACTAACAGCAGTGTTTTGCAAATTATTCCAAAATCTTCCTAGTTTATTCTAAAGGTCAGTATTACTCTAAGGCCAAACCCAGACAAGGACACAGACAACAGAAGGAAACTACATGCCAATATCCCTGAAGGATACAGACACAAATTGTCAAATAAATAAAGGGGATCCAAATTGGAAAACAGAAAGTCACACTGTCTGTGCACATAAAAGAATTCAGCAGGCCGGGTGTGGTGGCTCTCGCCTATAATCCCAGCACTTCGGGAAACCGAGGTGGGTGGATCACAAGGTCAAGAGATCGAGACCATCCTGGTCAACATGGTGAAACCCGTCTCTACTAAAAATACAAAAATTAGCTGGGCATGGTGGTGCGTGCCTGTAGTCCCAGCTATTCAGGAGGCTGAGGCAGGAGAATTGCCTGAACCCAGGAGGCGGAGGTTCCAGTGAGCCGAGGTCGCGCCATTGCACTCCAGCCTGGGTAAGGAGAGCGAAACTCCATCTCAAAAAAAAAAAAAAAAAAAAAAAAAAATTAGCTCGGCATGGTGGCCTGTGCCTGTAATCCCAGCTCCTTAGGAGGCTCAGGCAGGAGAATTGCCTGAACCCAGGAGGCGGATGTTGCAGAGAGCAGAGATCACGCCATTGCAGTCCAGCCTGGGTAACAAGAGCAAAACTCCATCTTAAACAAAAAAAAAGGATTGCTATTTTTGTACTCATCCCCAGAGTAGAGTTTCTTCTCCTGTCCGCTACAAAGTAAAAGATTGCTATTTTCGTACACATCTCCAGAATACCGACTCCTCCCCTATTCGCTGCAAAGTAAAAGATTGCTATTTTTGTACTCATCTCCGGAATACCGACTCCTCCCTGTCCGCTACAAAGTAAAAGATTGCTATTGCCTTACTCACCTCGGAGATACTCCAGGGTCTGCGGGAGTTTCCTCCCCTAATCATTTCAACTTTTTTGGATTCTCGCTCTTCCATGCCTCCCTCTTCCTTTTTCTGTTGCCAGTTCCCTGATGACAGTTACTGGCTTTCCTGAATGGAATCCTGGGCCTATCCCTCACCCCCACCTTCACTTTCAGCCAGTTTGAAACCATTTGGCTCCTTTTTTTGGCAGAACAGTCACTGTCATTGTAAAGTTTTTAGATCAATAAAGTCAGTGGCTTTCACGGAAAAAAAAAAAAAAGGAAAACTACAGCCCAATATTTCCGATGAATGTAGACACAAAAGTCTCAACAAAATATTAGCAAATGAAACCCAGCAACACATCAAAAATTTACTTCATCACAATCAAGTCGGGTTTATTCTTGTGATGCAAGGTTGGTTCAAAGTACACAAATCAATAAATGTTTCACCACATAAACAGAATGGAAAAAAAAAAACATATGATCATCATAAAACATGCAAAAAAGCTTTCAATAACACCCATAATCCCTTCATGAAAAAAAAAAAATCAACACATTAGGCATCGAAAAAATAGACCTCCAAATAATAAGGGCCACTTTGTAACAAACCTGCAGCTGAAATCACAGAATGGGCAAAAGCTGGAAGTGGGCGCTGAGTGCAGTGGCTCATGCTTGTAACTCCAGCATGTTGGGAGGTGAAGACAGGAGTATCACTTGAGGCCAGGAGTCTGAGACCAACCTGGCAACACAGTGAGACCTTGTCTCTATAACATAATAAAGAAAAAAATTAAAGAAAAAAGAACAAAAAATGTTGGAAGCATTCCCCTTGACAGCTGGAACAAGACAAGGATGCCCCATCTCACCACATCTATTCAACACAGGACTGGAACTCCCACCTAGCCAGAGCAATCAGACAAAAGAAAGAAAGAAAAGGCATCCAAAAAGGAAAAGAAGCCAAACTATCTCTCTTTGCTGATGATCTGATACTATACGTAGAAAACTCTAGAGTCTGCCTGTTTATCCTGGAACTGATAAATGACTTCAGTCAGAATGCAAATCAATGCAAAAATATCAGTAGCATTTCTATAGACCAATAAAGTTCAAGCTGAGAGACAAATCCAGAATGTAATTGCATTTACAATAGCCATACACAAAAAAGCAAAATACTTAGGAATGCATCTAACCACAGAGATGAAACGTGTCTAAAAGGAGAACTACAGAACACTGCTGAAAAGTCATGACACCAAATAGCAGACACCAAAAAAATGCAAAAACATTCCATGCTCACAGATTGGAGCAATCAGTATCAGTAAAATGGCCATACTGCCCAAAGCAATCTACAAATTCAATACTATTCCTTATCAAACTACAAAGGTTATTTTTCATAGCATTAGAAAAAACTATTCTAAAATTTCATACGGAACCAGAAAAGAGCCCAAACACCCACAGCCATCCTAAGCAAAAAGAGCAAAACCTGACACATCACACTGCCCAACTTCAAACTATACTACAGTAAACAAAGGCTACAGTGAACAGAACAGCATGGTACTGGCACAAAAACAGACACACAGACCAATGGAACAGAATAGAGAGCCAGAAATAAAGCCACAAGCCTATAACCATTTGATCTTTGATAAAGCGCAACGGGGAAAGGACTCCCTGTTCAATAAATGGTGCTGGGATGACTCGCTATCCATACACAGAAATATGAAACTTGACCCCTAGCTATCACCACATATAAAATGAATGAAAGCTGAATTACATTCTTAAAAGAAAGACCTCTAACTATAAAAATCCTACAAGAATACCAAAGAAACATACTATTTGAAATCAGCCTCTGAACATAATTTATGAATAAGGCATCAAAAGCAACTGCAACAAAAGTCAAAATGAAAAATTGGGACCTAGTTAAACAAAGGAGCTTCTGCATAGAAAAAGGAACCATTCAAGAGACTAAATAGGCAACCTAAATCATGAAAGAAAGTATTTACAAGCTATGCATTAAACAAAGTTCTAATATCCAGAACCGATAAGAAACTTAAATCAACAAGCAAGAATTTAAAAAAATATATAAAAGCAGGCAAAATACATAAAGAGACATTTCCCAAAAAAAGACAGAAAAGCAGAGGGCAAACATGAAAAAAAAGCTCATCTCACTAATCATCAGAGAAAAGCAAATCAAAGCCACAATGAAATGCCATCTCACACCAAACATAATGGCCATCGCTAAAAAGGCAAAAAATAAGCAACATTGACCCAGATTTTGGCAGAGCTGCTACAGCGAAAAGGGAATTCGAATACACTGCTGGAGAAAATGGTAAATTCATTTAGCCACTGTGGGAAGCAGTTTGGAGATTTCTGTCATGGAACTAAAAATAGAACTGCCTTCAACCCAGCAATCCCATTAGTGAGTTAAATACCCACTCCCTCCCAGAAATCATTCTACCAAAAAGACACATGCACCCATATGTTGGCTGCAGCACTATTCACAATAGCAAAGATATGGAATCAATCCAGAAGCCCATCAATAGTGCACTGGATAAGAAAATGTAGCACACATAAAATATGTAATACTATGCAGCTATAACAAGAACAAAATAATGTTCTCTGCAAGAACATGGATGTAGCTGGAGGCCATTATCCTAAGCAAACTGATGTGGAAACAGAAAACCAAATACTACATGTCTCACTTGTCAGTGGCACCTAAACATTGGGTCCACATGGACATAAAGAGGGGAGCAACAGACACTGGGGACTACAAGAAGAGGGATTGGGTTGGGACAACGGTTGAAAAATGACATGCCAGGTACATGTTCACTACCTTGGAGATAGGTTCAATTGTACCCTAAACCTAACCATTATGCAATATACCATTGTAACAAACCTGCACATATACCCCCTAAATCTAACATAAAAGTCAGAGGTGGTGGCTCACACCCGTAATCCCAGCACTTTGGGAGGCCGAGGCGGGCAGATCACGAGGTCAAGAGATTGAGACCATCCTGGCCAACATGGTGAAACCGTCTCTACTAAAAAATACAAAAATTAGCTGGGAGTGGTGGCGCACGCCTGTAGTTTCCAGCTACTCGGGAGGCTGAGGCAGGAGAATTGCTTGAACCCAGGAGGCAGAGATTGCAATGAGCCGAGATTGTGCCACTACACTTCAGCCTGGGACCCGAAGACAGAGCAAGACTCTGTCTCAAAAAAAAAAAAAAAAAAAAAGAAAGAAAGAAAAGAGAGAAAGAAAGAGAAAAAATAAATAAGATGAAAATTACAACTTGCAATGAAAAACACCAATAACATTCTTCACAGAAATGGAAAAAACAATCCTAAAATTTATATGGAACCACAAAAATGCTAGACTAGACAAGCCAAGAGTGAGGGAAAAGGACAAAGCTGGAAGCATCACTCTACCTCCTTGAAATCTACCTGACTTCAAATATATTATAAGCTTATGGTAACCAAAAAAGCAAGGTCTTGGTATAAAAAACAGAAAATTAAACTCTATTCAGTGGAACAGAATAGCGAACCCAGAAATAAAAGCACATATTTATAGACACTGGATTTTCAACAAAGGTGTCAAGAACATACATTGGGGAAAGAACCCTCTCTTTGACAAATGGAGCCAGGGAAACCCGATATTTATAAAAAGAAGAATAAAACCAGGTCCTTATTTTTCACCATGTACAAAAATCAACTCAAAATGGATTAAAGACTTAAACATGAAATCCAAAATTATAAAACTACAACAAGAAAATACAGGAAAAATGCTTCATGACACAGGTCAAGGCAAAGATTTTAAAGCTAAGTTATCACAGGAATATGCAAAAAAAGCACAGGCATAAAAACAAAAATAGACAAGTAAGGCTATTTTAAAGTTAAGTTTCTTCACAGCAAATCCTTTGTTGAACAACCAACAATCTGTAATATGGGAGACAATATTTACAAATCTATTCATCTGAGAAAGGTCTAATATCTAGAATATACTAGGAACTTAACACAACAGTTACTAATCCCCCTAATGTGGACAAAGAATTTAAATAGACATTTCTAAAAAGAAGAGGTGCAAATGGCCAACAATATATGGAAAAGTACTCAACATCACTGACAGCAGGAACACGGAAATAAAATTCCAAATGAGACATCGTCTCACCACGGTTAAATGGCTACTATAGATATATTTTTTGAAAAATTAAAATCCTGGTGAGGGTTGGAGAGAAAAGAAAACTCTAAACTAGTATAGCCATTATGGAAAACTGTGGAAGTTCTTTAAAACTAAAATACAAGTGTCATATAATCCAGTAATCCACTACAAGTTATCCAAAAGAAAGACATTCAGTATATCAAGGGAGACCAGTATCCCATGGTTTACTGCAGCACTATTCACAATAACCAAACTACAGAACCACCTAAATGTTCATCAATAGATGACTGTGGTTGTGAGTAAAGAAAAATGTGATACACTGGGGTCTGTTGGGG